AAAAAAAAAAAAAAATCCCTAAACGAAGATTAGCCGGGGTTCTGTTGATGGTGACTGTTCCTTTGTTTTGTTGTTGTCCTCTGAGGTTTGACCAGTGAGAACTGAAATAGAGATGAAATATCTTTATAACCTAATAAGATACAGTTTGAAGTCTTAAGTTTTAGCATTTACAAACTAGGGATGGAACGGTATATGAAAACCGTCCGAACCGTTCGGTTCGACTGTCTCGGTTCGATTTGCGTGTGTTGCGTTCGGTTCATGCACTGCTCCTTTTTCTCATAGGCGAAGCGTGTACACTCCAGAGCAGAAGGTGGCGGTACTGCAACCAAAGCCAACCACCAGTAGTAAACAAGAAGAAGAAGAAGCGAAGCAGCGTAGCCGGGTGTAGCAGAAAAAAATCTGTTGTTGTGGAGAATTGTGTGGGTATGGCGAGTGGGAAAGAACAGGAGTTGGAAGACGCGCCAGCAGCACTTTATAGGTCTGCTGTATGGGAGCAGACCTACGATGACGGCGGAAAGAAAGTTGTGGATAAAAGTGTAACAGTGTGCAAGCATTGTGCAACACGGTTTGTACTATACAAGACATAATAGATTTTCCTAACAATCAACATATACCGATCCGAAAACCGTGAACCGATCCGTGGATTTTGTGAACCGTTCCACCCCTATTACAAACGTATAATATTAATTTTATAGGAGATAGACCTGACTCACATGTTTTACAAACTGAGTAAATGCAATCAGATGGGATTCCTTTGATAACTGTGAACCATTTAACTGTACAACTCAATTGAAATATCTCTGTAAAGTCCCTTCAGATGACTACTTGTGAATTGGTGCTATATAATTGAACTGAATTGAAAAAGAATATCTTGTTTTCCAGATGGAAGTTTGTTGGAAGCGGAGACAAGGCGATGTACCCCACCTGCAGACAAACCTATTCCAGTACAAAGTTCATGATAAAGGAGCATCCTTTTTTGCCCGTGGGATGTCCAGCGCTGTTCTTTAACTCCACCTTTTTATTCTCCATGTACAAATTTTTCAAGATCACAATACATTATAGATTTGACTTTAGAATTTGCTGGTTTGTATCTTTGCCTGGAGGATGGTATCATCAATCAACAAATACTATTGATCCTAGTATGTATGTTTCTGGAGGAATAATTTATTTATTTTTTTTTCTTAACAGTCTCACTAGTACTACAGGTTTGCTTTGGAATAGTTATTCACAATGTTTTTTTGATTTCACTGTAAGGTGCTTTGCACGGCTGTCAAAACAAGATGATCCTGTTTATTCTCTGCTAGTTTTTTTTTTTTTTTTTGCTGCAGCTTAGCTGACCTCCTGCCATGATTAATGCTTATCAATGTAATTATTTGGCATTCTGGAACATTTTAGATTTCAACAAATAAATAAATACTATCCTTAACATTATGGAAAAGGAAAAAGCAAACAGCAAAAGTCTGAATGAGAGAAATGTTTGATGTTGTATGTGAACTGTGTAGTTCAAAAGAATATAAATGAAATAAAAAGAAACAAACAGGAAAAAGTGTTTCTGTGATAATTGTGAAATAAAGACCATGATGGCTTTCCAGCATCGGCTTTGTTAGGTTATTGTACAAATCATTACCTGGAATTCACCAGTGCTCTTCGAGCTGTTGGTATAATGGTAGATCATCACATGGGAAATATATTGTAAAAATGATCAGTTACAACAATAAACTTTGATCACTGAAACAGAATTATATTTTATGGTACCACAAATATTTTGTTAGTATGATTATTATACAGTATGAGAATAAAGACGTCCAAGTGAGTCTTATAATTGAGCTCCAAACAAAATAGTGGAAAAATGTAGTATTGATCTTTGTCCACACGGGGTCGCTGTGGTATTGCCTTTTACACTGATGAGTGAAAGGTCAAAGTGGAGAGGTCTTGCCGGATTTGACAACCAACCAGCAGTTTTGATGCCTTTATGCTGTGCGTCGCCATCACATCGGAGCAACCTATGAGCAACTGTTAAAGCCGAGGATTAAAACTGAACCTGATCATCATTTTACCCCGAAGAGCCAAACCGATTAAATCCGTCGGAGCGAATCCTAAAGTTAGATCAGGTGAGTGTGCTAACAGCGCAGCTAAAGTAGCAGCATTAGCCGCGCTAGCTTAAAGGGAAGCATGGAAACTGCTGCTGTTTATTCTTAATATAGGGAATATACTAAAAACGTAGATAACCCTGGTTTTGTTTGTTTCTGCCCGACAATTATTTCTTGATTTGTACAGTTTATATAGCAGGTTTTACTTAACCTGACAGTTTAGTAAAGCTTCTGTTGCTTTATTTCCAAACCAAAAAAACAAATGTTAATGGAGAACTTTCTCCAAGAGGTTTCCCGAATAAAACCTTCCCCGTTTGACCATATACTATCCCCAAAGAGGTTTTTAACGTCACCATTTAAACTAACTTTTACCTTAGCGGCAAATAGAGAGGAAAGCTAACGTTGCTGGATGTCAATGAGCTAGCTATGCTAGCCTTTAGCATAGTGCCAAAACAAACTGAGGACAGGTGCTAAGAATCTAAAAGACATCTTTAAGGTCGCTGTTAGCCGTGATAAAAGACACTTTTTGGGTTGTTTGCATGTGGTTTAAGCTTTATATTATTACAACGTATTATTACAAAGTTTATGAGAAGTGAATTTCTTTAAAGAAAACACAGATTAAGTAAATATTTATGGTTCAAGTCCAAGAATGTGTCTATTCTGTATTTTTTTTATTTTTTTTAGTACCATTTACATAGTTATTTTCTAATTCAAGACCTAATATACCTTTTTTTGTGAATGCTGGTGTTTTTCCCAGGGCAAGTGTCAACTGTTAAGTGCCTTAGCTGGTTTTGGGTATAAACTTATAGTGAACTGTTGATTTGATCAATGTTTTATTGATTGATTGACTTTATTGATCTCACAGTGGAGGAATTAGCTTGTTAATGTTTTATGGCCTAAAATAAAGATGAGACAAGAGTAAGACACAACTAAACCTGTTCTAAGTTTTTCTTTGCTGTGGGCAAAGTCTAGATTTTTAAAATATCTCTTTTTTAATGTTGCATAGATTTGTTTCCATCAAACAGTAGAACCTCTCTGGGCCTGTCAGTGATGTCCGTGTTATAACTCGCTCCTCCAGGTGATGTTGCAACATGGTTGCATCAGCCCTTCCATCTATTCATGTGCTCTCTGTCTTGGGAGCCCTTCTTCACAATTATTTAACTTCATTAAAATATGTCAGTAAAAAGTTGCAGTTTTAGGGAATATTGATTTTAATAATAATTTGTTTTGTTTTTTTAGAATTAGTGGCTGTTGCTCTTAAGGATTGATTACTGCAACATAATTGATGTGGCCTTTTGTTTCTGCTTCTTTTAAATATTTAGTATCCATGAATAGAAATGGTCCGCCTGTTTAACATCATTAGTCGTCACGACATGGTTACTGATCGACAGAAACTTTCTCTCTCCTGTCATCGTCCCTGCTTGTATACTGCTCATTCACAGGGAGCCTCTGTGTTCAGTTTACAACAGAACTAAAAGTCTACGCTTATCAGCGGCGCATGCTTCGGTATTATGCAACTATGTCACTGAATTTTGATGCAGTTATGCTTCTGAGAATGGATGCAGCCTGAGTCTCTCTGGAATGTTGGTGGTTATTGTTTTTAGCTGTCCGCTGCATGTCTTGCATGATACCTAATGGTGCTTGCTATGCCGCTGGAATCAATGAAGTCTGGATGGGCTTGTAAATTTGGCTTTTTTGGAAGGATTGAAAGGAGGTAAGGATCTTGAATTGTTTTTTTTGTTTTTTTTTTTCTCCAAATCTTTTGTAAAATGTAAAAATTGTCAACCGAGATCTTCCCTCTGATTGGTTGCAGTTAGTTGTTACTGTAAAGATGACCAAATTCCTGACTGATGGGTTTAATAATGGAAAAATGAATACTGTAGACAACTTTTTTTTTTGACAGACATTTCCCATGCTGTCTTTTGGATTTCTTTTTAAAGTTTGCTGAGTTCTTGCTTTAATGTCCTGGAATCCCATTTCCCAACAATCGCTGATTATCACCTGCCAGAAACGGCTGAAGAGAGCACAAACCCAGCATTGTGCGGCCGCTGCCAGCCAACACTTTGCTGCTGGCTGGTGTCCATTGGGCACTTTCTTTGTGGAGGTGCTGTTGTAAAGACCACTTCAGCCTTGCCTTGCTTTTAGGGCACCAATGTCTTGGAATCCTAAGACCAAAGTAGGAGTGAGAGTGATGGGAGGTGGCCACAGGGTCTGTGCCCTGCTCGTTGAGTTTCCAATCGGCTCAATCCCGGATTAGTTTACTGACGGAGATGCTGCTGATCCTTTTGCCAAATCAGGCCTTGCAGCTGCACCCACATAACCCTGCAGCACTCGGTGAACTTAACTGACAGTTGAAAGATGGAGGCTTTCATTCAGAGGTTTTTAGTGAATGCCTGGCAAGAAAGTGAGTGGCACCAGGACTCAGAAGTTCTTTCTAATCTACAAATGCTTTAATTTAAACTCCTGTTTTTGGCTTTCACAGAAGCCATTGTGCAAGCTCGCTGTCGCTTTGTTTACTGTATAGAGTATTTATAACAGCAGATCAAGAGACCCCTGAGGAGAATTCCTCCCAGGGAATGTTTCCGTTGCTCCCGGGGGGAAGAACCAAGCCGTCACAGAGTTTGCCTGAATCAAGGAGAGAGCACTATGTCAACCACAATGCATGTAGGCTAAAAAAAACCAGCGCTGCTGCTTTCAAGCGACAAAAACAGGTGGGACCCCGACAGATAACCTGCTCCCCCATCAACAGGTACCTTTTCACAGCAGCTTTTGTGTTTGACAGAGTGGCTGATGTTATATGAAGGAAAGGTAAACATGTACTGTGACTTATTAGTATTAGTTTAAAGCTGTAAGGATTAGTAAGGAATGAAAACACAATGTGATACTGTTTAGTTTAAGCTGCATCTCTGCTTGTTTCTGGGTGGGAAACCTGAGCGCTGCTATCAACGCGTGTGAAAGGAAGAAATGACGCCTGTTTGCTAAGGGAGCGTAGAAAAGACAGGAGCTGAGATTGGATTGGTAACAGAAGTGAAGTGAAGTTACTTAGGAGGCAGTGAACCGGCCTGAAGGCAAAGATTTCACACAATCTTCCCTTATCGGTCTGCCTGCATGCAAAGGGAACAATTTGGTTACATGGAATTGAAATAGATTTATCAGAGGATTTCTGCTGTTTTTAAGAAACAGGCTGCAGCTTTGTGGAGTTTGGTTGTTAATGCTTTTTAAAATTTGTTATGATTTCACATCTTTTTTTTTAGAGCTGAAATTACATTTCCCACTGCAAGCTTTTGGAATGGCCATATTTAAAAATGTAATGTTTTTGCTTTGTTTATGCATTTTAGTGGTTTTATAATTAGTTTGAGTGGGTGGTTTAATAAACAATATGATTAGCAGCAAAAAAAAAAGGACATTTGAACATTTTATGAGCAATAAATTCAGCTTTTTAAAATAAAAAAATAAAAAATATATATAATTAAAATAACCCTTTCAACACTTTAATCTCTGTTTAACCCATTTCAAAAAGGTTCTCATGCCCAGATGTTTCCCTCTCCATGGCCACTGTCTATATTCTTTACTGCTAACATGAAAATACTCCCCTACTATCTACTAGAAAACAGTCCTGTGGGGAATGTGCCCACAGCTTTTTGGTTTCTGAAAGAGACGTGTGTGTTTTAAGAGCGGTCAAGCATAGGAACTGGCCTGACAGAAAGCAGATCTTTCTTTTTTTCTTTTTTGAAAGTCAGAACCACCATGTTTGCTAACGCTGAGGGAGGATGAAACTATTTCCATGTTTACAGCAGACCCAACGCCTGTCTTTTTTTCTGCAGAATGTGGCACAAGGGTGGCACACATTGCACCTTTGGAAGTTTTGCACCTTAGTCTCGATAAACCCAAAATCTTTCATGAAATAGAAATATACATGACACAAATATGTTTTCCTGGATCCTATGTGAATGATTTGCCTTTAGTTTGTAGGTGATACAAGGAAGACATTTTACAAAATTAACAAAATTGTAAGAAAAAAAAATCAAATGATGTAGAATCAAAAGATTAGCTGAAAGTTTTTTTTCTCTGCCTTAGGATCTACTGAACTGTGATTTTCTTGTTTTAAGAAGTTTATCAATATATCCAGACTTCATCACATATTTAAAATATAAAAGACTTTTCCTGCGATAAAGTTTCTATTATGGATGTCATTGTCTGATATTATTAGTTCGAAATTAGCCAAAAAACTAATATTTAAAAACTCAGATACTTTCATGCTGATAGAAACATTCTGCTTTTGTTGAAACTTTCTGTAACTCATGGGTTAATTTTACCTGAGTCAGTTATTTGTAATACCTTTTGATGTTGACTTTTGTTCTCTGGTTTAGTAATGACATTTGATCAAGCCTTTTTTAAATATTCTACAGTATAAAATAAATAATTGAAGCTGGTGTGATACATAATAATATTGTATCGGGTCAATATCCTGTCAGCCAATTCTCAAAGCTGGGATAACGGGACATTCCTAGTTTCTAAGGTCTTTGTGTTTCTTGTAGGCCCGGCTCAGGTCACCTCTTCTCTGATACCCCAATTGTGTTATTTGCATTATTGCATTATATTCATCTTCATTCTAAGGATGTCCTGATTATCGGAAATTCGTCCAATAGCCAAAAAGACGAATTTCAGAATATATTGGCCTGCATCTAAAATGTCTGATAACAGCAGTGCTGTATTTCAAACCTGTTGTTGTTTTTCGACTGTTCATCTCTGTATCGTATCAGGAATGAAAACATTGAATCTTTAAATTCCTTCTTAATTCACCATAAATACTTTAGTTTCAAATTGAATCTCTTAGCAAAGCATATTTACTCTGAATTTACTCTTGAGTTGACAAATAGTGTTTGTTGGACTTATAAATGGGTGTTTTCTTACAGAATGATGTGTTTACATTGTTTTATTTTTGTTTTAGTTTTTTTTTCTTTTTTTCCGCCTGCAGACTGATTTCCACATCAGTGTTGGGTTCAGGGTCGTCCCCAGAGACGCTAGAGTTGATGTTGGGGCAGCTGCCTCAGAAAGTTGCAGTGTTTAAAAAAAGCAGCAATGGAAGGGTATGATTTTGTAGACTGATGACCTTTTCGTACATTTGGATTCAGGTCTCTGGATGCTCCGCGGCGCCCTGTCCTCGGCCGCCCCGTGCTTCCCAATGGCCGGGAGTTGACCATGAGCAACAGGATGACGCTGCGCGAGCAGCTGAGAGAGAAGATCTCGGCAGCCTTTTACCGGCACGGGCTGCTGTGTGCCTCCTACCCAGTACCCATCATCCTCTTCACCTCTGCCAGCATCCTCACCTGCTGGTAGGTAAACTCTGATGATGTTCCTGAGCCGATTCGTCGTAAGAGATCATTTATTAGGATTTGCAAATGTATTTATGTCCATTCTAGTTTTTTTTTCTTGCCATAAGAGCCACAGACTTCAACGTAACTTTTTGTATTTTATGATTTTTCAGTATTTCACTAATAGAGGACAATCTTTAATACGGTTTTCAAGTTTAATGCTCAAATGAAACATTAACTCCATATTTGTATTTAACCCTGTTTACTCAAATACCCTAAAGTTAAATCCAATTGCCATTAAAAGCCACTTAATTAAGAGTTTACCTCTCTGTGTTTAAACTCGGTGTAAAAAACAGACATTAAAGGTTTGATAGAGAGCATTTGGGAATGAATAGCGTATAGATGACCAAGGAACACAGCAGATGAGTGAAGGAAAAGCTATGGAGAAGTCTAAAGCAGGTTTAGATTGTAAAGAGAGTATGGCAAAACTACGACCCTGATTTAAACTGGCAGTTTTGGCTTAAAGAGCATCAATTAGAGAAGGAGCTGAGCTTAAACGGTTACTATGAAGGTGTAGCGATTTGATGCAGGTGCTTTGGCCAAGTGGGCTAATATCGAATTGCATTTGACCCCCAGCATTATGTCGTCGGGCTGATTTCTTTAATTATGGAGGGAGTTAAGTTGATGGGAGTTGTTGGGGAGGATGGAGATTGTTGAAGCTGGATTTATGACCAACCTGGGAGAACATCAGGTTTAAAACCTGCAAAAGACCCTGAACTGGTGTAGAGGTGACGTTTGAAAGTGAATTCTATTTAGGTGCATCACTGGACAAATACGAATGGAACACCTTTTTAATTTGTATTTGTTAAAAAAAATAACCAAACCTTTTCCTCTAACTCAATTTTCTTAGTTTTCGTTTATTACTATATAATAGTTTTTTTCATCCATTCTTGGACAAGCTGTTTAAAGTTTGTTTTATCCTTTTTATCCACATGTTCTAATCTTGTAAAGTTCTTAGATGTTTCGCCCACCTTTCATCTGCATCTGTTAGAAAACTTTGATCAGATTTGTTCTTTTATTGCAGAACTTTGGCTTTATTTGCTGTGAACTCTGTGGAAAGGTTTTAGACCCACAGTTTGACTTATTTCCCCTTTTTTGGCCTCTACTGAAACATGAAAGAGAATCAGAGTTGTCATACAAAGTGGATACGCTGAACTGCGCAGAATAAAGCTGAGATTTGGCTCACTTCAAGGCCATCTGTACACACATAATAACAGTTCCCTGCTGACAGCACCACCATTCACATAACACGTGCACATACAGTGTCTCCTCTTGCTAAATAAGTGGTCCAAAGAGAGGACATAGGTCAGAGACTTGCCCGGGCCCCATCAGCGCAAAGATTGTAAAACAATCACACCGATCTAAAACACAGTCATGCACCTGCTGCGTGCTTTCCCTCAAGCATATTACAGCAGGGTGCCGGCCAAATGGAAGACTGCCCGCCACCCAGGGGGGGGAAAGTGAGGGAAGAAAGAGCTTGTCGACAGGGCTGTTAAAGGCAAAGCTGGGGCAGAGGGCTGTGAGAAAGTGGCCCTGGGAGAATGGGATGCCTGTCTCTCCATCTGCCCAACAGGAGGGGGGCTGGCTGAACACAAAAGAAGCTTTTGTGTAGGTACAGTGACCTGGGAGGACTGGAGGAGGCCGTGGAAAGCATGGATGCAGGGAGCCTGGTGAAAGGAGGGGTGTTTCACTCAACCCAGAGACGCATATCTAAAGGAGCAGAAAATATTTGCCCAAGTGGAAAAACTGCACTTCAGTCTGAATAGATGATCTGTATTTATCAAGATAAATGGATCAGAAATGTTTTTGCATCCTTGAAACGGCCTCAATTAGTGAACAGAACCAGCTCTGGAAGAAAGGTTAATTGACTCTGACATTAAGTCCTCCGTTTTATTTTGTATTGGTGAGGTTGCTTTTTTGTATGAAACAATTAATACTTATTAATTCTGAATAATCGATTATTGAAATAATGGTCAACTAATTTGATAATCGATTAATGTTTAACTGGAGTATAGAGGCTCTAAAACAGGCCTTTAGCTGACAGTGACCTACTTTGAGAAGCAATTACCGGTATACCAAAATTTGAAAAAAAAAAAAAAAAACTATGAACATTTTGCATTAAATATTAAAATACCCTTTTAGTCCAACAATGCTCTATCCAGCCTTCTCATTTGGAAACGTTTTAGTTACATCTAGTTTGATTTCGTAAAAAGTCTTCTTTGGCTATCAGATTTTTATTCGAATAAATAATCAACAGATTAATCAATTTGCAATCATTAGCTGCAGCCCTACCATTAATATGCTCTATCAGAAGTCATCAAAGAACACAGTTTTAGCTTCATTTGATTTAAATTCTGTGTGAAATCTTCTTTAAGGAGCATTTTTCCACCCGATTATTGATGGATTAATCAATTAGAAAAATATTCGTAAGTTGCTTAATGAATCATTTGGACCAAGAGATAAATGAGATGATGACACAGTTAAGCCTTAGTTTTTCTGTTCTGACCTAAATATACAAACCTTGCCTTCAAGCCGAGACCTTTTTTCTTCGTGAAAGAACAGTCTGAGTCTCAGATCCCAGTTATAGCACAGTTTCCTGTTTCATTCAGGTAAGCACCTCTTACATGGGCCCAGACATGTTCGTGACACAGCGTTGGCTGTTTTCTTGAATGAAATGGACCAACCTATTTCCAGGAGAAAAAGTGGATCAGTTCTGCCTTTATTTAGCGGGTTTGAATTGGCCAAGCGAGAAAAGCCAGAGGTGCAGGTTTAATCCTCCCAGAGGAATCTGTCAGACACAAAGGAAACACCCAGCTATCTTTCCACTCTGTTCATCTTGGCTTTCAAAATTTGTATGTAGTCATGTGGCCGAACTAAAGAGCTGGTTTGTTGGTTGTGTGATTATTTTAATAAATTATTATTTAAAGTATATTTGAAAGCACACCAGGACTCACAGGTTCCCTCTCCACACTCATTCTACCAGTTATCCGCTGCTGAGGCTTCCCCTGCCTGGGACAGGTCCTGTGGAGTTCACCACAGGGGTGCGAGACTACAGCGTCCCTTCCCATGAGCCTCAGGGAGATCTAGAGCGACCTGATTGGGTAAGAGAGGAGAGGTCACATATGTACTTTATTTGGGAAGAGAAAACAGAAAAATAACACAAGGAAAAGGATCTCAACAGTCCTATATGTATAAGCAGTGCTTTGCCGAGGTCTTATGCACCTTGTACCTTCCTGTGGCTCTTGTTACAACCACAAACTGCCATGTAAATTTGGAGGTGGCGAATCTTAATGCGGTTCTTCACAAAGTCCATTTCCATGGTGTCATTTTGCTTCTACTTAACAATTATACTGTGATATCTATATGATGCACAGACTTTTACTCTGCACCTCCATCTGAGACACCTGTACCTATTTGTTTCTGTTTATATGTCGATGTTTACATTCTACCCCTTATTTGCACATAATAGTGTCTATTCTATACTTTTATACTTTTTAAGTTTTTAGCTGTTAGTTATGTTAGAGGACCGAGAGTCCCTGCATTTCAATACCTCATTATTGGCAATAAAGCAGACTTAATTACTTACCTAATTTTTCACCAGTCACATACAAAGGTGAAAAGTAAAGACCTCTTATATTAATGCTTTTAGAAGTACTTAGAACTGTGTGTACCGTATTTAACAGACTAAAGGCTGCTACTTTTTCCCACGTTTTGACTATGCGGCTTATAAGACGTTTTTTTTTCAACTTTTCTGTTGATTTTCCTTATCCCCAGAGGGGGAAGTCAAAGTTGGAAATGAAAGAATAAGGGGTTAATTTTCATTTAGCACAAGAACATGCTAGCAGCAGACGCAGCGTAAAACAAATTTCCTGAATTCACATATTTTGACATCTATTTGTCGCATTAAGGCTGCAAAACCAATGAAGAGACTGGGCATAACTCCTGCAGAGTTAAAGAGGTAACAAAGCCCCGTCTTTCAGTAGAAGCTCTTACTGCTGCGAGCCAACAAGCTAACGGGAGCTAGCATTCTTCTTCGTTCCTACTCCAGCTATATGTAGAGCTCCCCCTACAGGTTTGGTGGGAGACAGTTCAGTAGATATCAGCAGCTTATAGGCCGGTGCGTCTTATATATGCAAGTTTCCAGTTTTTCTAAAAAATGTAGTGGGTGCAGCTTATAGTGAGGTGCGCTTTATAGTCTGGAAAATACGGTAAACACAATTTCGACCAGCTAGTTTAAATACATAAAAAATCTAATTTGTGTGTGATTGCTGATTAATGTGTTGCCTGTCTGTGTTTGCGGGCTGTGCTTATGCTGCAGTACCATGGACCTCCGGTCGCCTACATTCAGCAGGTGTTGGTGAAGGCAGCGGTGTCGCCGTGGGACAGCAGCCTCGTGCCGGTGGATGTGTTCCGGTCACCTCTGGGTAAAGTCTTCAGTCTGCTGGAGGAGATCCGTAACCACGTCCACTCCGATGGGTAAACACATTTTTAGATTACTGATGAAGAAGTGGTTAGGTCTTGTGCGACCATTGTACCAACCTTTGGTGCTTATGTGATAAACTGGCCTCCTCATGCTTTTGCAGAAGGTCAAACAAACTCTGGACCTCAACCTGTTTTGCGTCAGCAAAAAAGAAAACATCCCTGACCTTACAGAAAGAACAGCTCTGAACATGTAGTGAGCTCTGTTTGTTGCAAACTAGCAGGTTTTGGAACTGTCCCCTCTTGCACTTGTTTAGCAGCTGCACCATGCAGGACTGAGCTGAACCCTGATTTGTAGGTCAGGCGCTTGTTTACGAATCAGCTGACGTGTGTTTAAACATACTGACCTCAGCCATGTCTTCCTTTTATTCCAGTTAATACTAAAGATCAACACTAAACATTGATCGTTTGATCTCAAATAGTTTTATTTAAATAACTTTTTAACATCTCTTTTTTTTCTACCGTCTTGTTTCTTCTCTTTTCAGCTCTGGCGTCCGAAGCTTGGAAACGCTGTGTCTCCAGGTGACTGATCTGTTTCCAGGGTTACGGCGGATGCAGTCGGTGCTGCCAGAACATGGCTGCCTCCTTGTTTCTCCTGGTAACTACTGGCAAAACCAGCGAGATCTGTTCGACTCGGACTCGGACCTCCTCAGGACCATTCAGAAACACGAACCAAAAGGATTGCACACCTCAGCAACGCTACGAGGTAGAGACTAAGACCAACCTGTGGATGGTTGCTGAATATGATGAGGATGGATGCCGTGGGAGCTTGTAAAGTCCTTCCCTTTTAGTTTAAGATTTTACACCAAAATCTTTGTGTTATTTAAATTCTTACTAACTTAACTTTGCAAATAAACTTCATTGTGTTTCTTTGGGGTTTTTTTTTAACCTGGAAGGAAACAATGAATGTTTTTTTTTTTTTTTTTTATGTTTGGAGATAAAATGTTTTAATGTTCTTTAATGAAACAAGAATTACTAAATTCATAATTTAATAAAAGGCCATACGTTACAAAGTATTTTATTTTTTGACGTTAGCTTAAACCAAGGACTTTTTCTGTCAACATTTATTATATAATTATTTCATCTTCTGTGTTGCTGAAATCCATTTTAGATCAAATTATTTGTTCAAAATGCACCTGCATCTGCATCGAACCCTGCATCTGGGAACATAATTGCTTGATTTTTAGTCTGTTGAACTCCCTACTAGTTTAAATATGTAATGCAATGATGATTGGTTCTTCCTGTGTCAGTTGCCAGTGAACAATGCTTGCTAAAACTAATGAAATAATAGGCCTTTAAGCTGATTTACCTTGAGCAGTTTTATTTCTCTGGAACTTGTTGTATTTGCGACCCCCCCCCCACAAACACACACCCACAGTGAACTAAGCCTTTCTACTACTTTGCTCAGCATATTGGCATATCTTCTAGCTAAAGTAATTCACAGGAGCGATGCTTATCAGGATGTTATCTCCTTACAGCAGCATGACATCGACACATAGACGTAGCATATGGCTGCTGGCTTTGATCTTTTTACATAGCAGCAATAAATGATCTCATATGAGTAAATAATATGATGGTTGGTTCATCTATACCAGGGATCTTCAACCTTTCATATCCAAAGAGCCGTTTTGCCCAGAGTACGACCAAATAAAAGTTGTTTAGAGCCGCAAAATATACCATGACTTTTTCTAGAAAACCTTTTTTTTTTTTAATCCTGTGTAGGAAATTAGTTGTTGCCATCTCAAACAATCAATTCATATATTTTTAATGTTATAATTTTCAAGCTAATTCATAGAAAAATGTCTCTTAAAACATATTTCTGGTTCTTTTAATCTCATTCTTTTCCATCTTATAAAAAACACTAAAGCTATTTATACCGGTATGTATTATAGTAAATATTTTAGCTCTTTATATACATTATAGCCACTATTAAGAGCTGCTGGTTGCAGATCCCTGATCTATACTGAATACCCCACTATTTCTCTCTTAACTGAGAAATTTAGGATCCCGGTAAAGTCATCAGTCCGACGCGTGGTTCTGTAGCTATGACATGGAAAAAATAATCCAACCTGCTTTGCTGTTCAGGTTTTAAAAAAAAAAATCATAAATCTGTCTTTGTGTGTTTTTTTTTAAGACCTGCTGTTCGGCGTCCCTGGAAAGTACACAGGAGTCAGTCACTACAACAGGAAAAGAGTGGTCACATACACCATCACTGTGGTGCTTTCCAGATATGACGCAGGGTGAGTTACAAAGGCACTCAAAGCTGTTAGACATTTAGACTGCCACATATACCCCTGAGTAAAATCTCAATGTTAGCTTCAGAGATTAAATTTGCATGAAGTTTAATTAAGTTGTCTTTATTTTGAATTAATAGCACATTTATTTTAAGACATTTGGTGATTTTAAAGATGCAGCAGCAGGTTCTCTAGGATGGCATCGGCTTTAGTGCTCTTTAAAATTCTGTGTGATTTAAATGTCAAAGGACTTTAGTCTTAAAACAGGAAAAGGTCTACTTGCATGGTTAATTATGACCAGTAAAATCTTTAAAGGTTGATATTCTTCTTACGATAATCAAAGATCAGGCTGATATTTGGAACAGATAATAATGGGAAGCCTGTGATCTCCCTCTCTGAACCTGATCCCACCACACAGATAATCAGTTATCCTCCCAGAAATGTTGTTCAGACCACTTCCTTCGCTTGGTTTATCGCCTCTACTTGAAAGATTTGTTCGAGCTTGCTTTGGAAATATTTAAATGCTCACCCTTCAGGAAATTCAATTGTATAAAAATACAATTCAATAATAAAAATCCACCTATTTACTATCAAATGTTATGCTGTTTTATTGACAGAGGCTGGTATAACTTACCGGTAGATCAGTTTTGTCTATAAGCCTCCAGAACACAAATGCCTCCTTAGTCCCCTTGACATGGAAACACAGGAATTTATTCTGCTTCAGTTGATTTTAGTCTTTTAAAGGAGCTGTTTGTTTAAAAATCAAAGATGAACATATTCTGCTTGTTTGCCAGGCATTATTTTGTATGTTTATCTTTATTTGTTATTTCATGTGTTATAATTTAGCAACCGTTTAATCAAGAGATGGATCAATGCATCCACTGGCTGATGTTTTTGGCCAGCAGCCATGCTTTGAATTCAACCTAGTTTTTTTTATCAATTAATGTTTAGTTTCTTATTTTTTTGTTTAAATTGTGTCCTGTGTAACATCTGTTATCATTGTGTCCTTTTGATAATGTAAAGGAAGAGGAATCAGCCCAAAAATATTGGCAGCACAAAGTGGGGATCAGTTAGATTCATGTCAAAATAATCTCTAGTTTAATCCCTGGGAGCATTTTACTTCACAATCAATAGAATCAGAAGCAAGCTTTATCACCAAGTAATGTTTAGCATTTACAAAGGATTTGTTTTGGTACTGAGGTGCTACACACATGCTAACATAAAATTGACATAATACATTTCTAAATAAACATTTGGAATCAATACCAGTTATAATGGAGTGTTATGATATAATAGATGAATATCTGAAGCCCCTGCCACACCTTGATGATTTAGACCAGCATATGCCTGACATACGAAAAATCTGGCAAAAACACTGGCATATGTTGGATAAGTTATGGGTATGTTTTTTATAAGTTATGAGCACGCTGAAATGTGCTAAAAATTTCTTGATTTATGCCAGCGTATGCTCATATGTGGGCCATTAGTTACAGGTAAGTTATCTGATTGTCAACATACGTTAAATCTAAGTTACTCATAAGTCTTGGTGTCTAGCTTATCCAAAAACTATGAGTAACTTATGCATAAATTATCAAGAACTTCTCTCCAACGCATATTAATATATCTGACGTGTTCCAAACGACTGCTGAACGTGTTTCTAATGTACAGCTACTGTGTAATGGCGTATTGGAAGCGTTTTGATATAAAAGGGGGTTCACAGGAGGAAACAGTTCTCCTCCAGATTTCATCCACATCATAGGGTGAGCAAGAAGGAGAGTGTGATTGATCCTCCCCCTGTTCACGACAATGGCAAACAAATTTCCTAGCAGACATGACGCTAAATCTGCTGCAACTTTCTTTCTTTTTTTTTTTTTTTTCATTTTCTTTTTTTCTTTTTTTTTTTGATGGGTGGGAAACAGCAGCTAGGTTAATACTGCGATCAAAGACATAGTTTTATACCTCCGTGCGCATCACTGCCCTCCTCAGGACTCTGGCTTGTAACATTTTATGGGCATTACACTGCCGTGCGTTAAGCATAAGTTAGGCTGTCGTTCAACGTAAGTTCTGGACTCGTTATGAATACTCTATTTATACGTCCAAAAATTTAAAAAATGCATAGAAAGTTTAGAGTATGCCAGTGTTTTAGGAGATTCTGGGACGTCGACATACGCTGGCTAAATTGTCAAGGTGTGACAGGGCCCTTAGCTTTTTTGTGATCTAAACATTAAAACAATAAAGGATCTTTTTGTGTTTTATTTGTCCACATTTTTCGCTACATATAACATGTAGTTACGGTGTCTGTGGATGTTTTCAGCTTTCTAAGCAGCCTGCGATCCCGCCTGAAGCAGCTTCACCCCTCAGCCAACTGCAGCCTGAGAGACGACCACATGGTTCACATCCACTTCAAGGAGGAGATCGGCATCGCTGAGCTAATTCCCCTGGTCACCACGTACATCATCCTCTTCGCTTACATCTACTTTTCCACTCGTGAGTCCCACTGCAACCCCCGTCCTATACCTTTTTTTCCCCCTACATCTTAAATTCTCTCTTAGCTCCTGCTGGCTCGGCTCTACGCCGTTTTACTTTCTTATATTTTTTTTTTTTTTTAATAGGCACACATTCAGACCCGTGCCCTCTGTACTTTTGTTTGTGCACGTTTGTTTGTGTGCCAAGGTTGTTCCTGTCTGGCACAGGATTATCCTCCCACTGGAACACTGCACACCTCTGTAAGAACGCTGCAAGCAAAAGCCTTCAGCAAGCTGCCAGTACAAACATTACTTCAGAGGGCCAACGCATGCACTCAAAAATAAACATTAGTTCAAATTTGGTGCCTTTTCCTAAAGTGATTAACAACCTGCTTATGACTGCAGTCTTTATGGATTTATTTCAGAATCGGGTTCATTTATAATCACTTGTTTTTTGCACATTATCAGAGAATTTGACTTTGGCTCCATTCTGTCCTCAATTAAGACATTTTTGTAATTTTTGATTTGGTGCTATCACTGTTGTTTTGATATTGAAAAGGTAAGATATGAGTTGTCTGTTAAGAAATTAAAGGTTAAGTTAAAATAATTTCAGCGCCTTTACAAAAATCCTAAATTTCACATAAAACTTGTGTAATGAGGCGAGAATCTTTGCCCACTTCCAGCCGAGCAGCCAAGTAAATTTCAGGCTCGTACATGTAGACGTGCACACAGGGAACACAAGGACGTTCAGTGTTTAAATTTTGTCACTCTCACGTGGCACTAAAATAAATCAGAGAGGGTTTCATTGACTGACCTTTTAGAGGAGAGCTCACTACACACTGCAGTCTGCAACCTGGAGGAAAACATTTCAGCTTGTCTGACTTTCCTATATTTTAGTCATTTCAAATAAAAACTTCTGACTCCTCATCCCTGATGATTCTGTAACAGTCTACTTTAAAATGTTGAAATGTCATATTTCATGAATAAAAAGCAACCAGAGTGTGATTTGTAATCGTTTCCATCACTATTGCATCACTTGTGTTGGGTTTCACCACTGTGGCAAAGAGAGCAGTTTGTAGGTCCCTGTGTGTTGAATTAATTACTGGTCAAATTATTTATTTTTGGTGGGGTGGGTGGGCAGGTCTGTCCTGCATCTTTCCGGTTTGGTGGATTCCAGTGTTCATCTTTCTCAGAATACAGCAGAAATAAATTATTCCAAAAACTATCCACTTTCTGTACTTATGAGTTTTGATTACATTTTCGGAGGAGGTAAAAATGTTTTTTTTTATTTTTTTCCCCCCATTATTTTCCCATTATTATATCTTAAGAGAGGCAAGGGAAAGTCAAATTTAGATCTAACTGAATAGTTTTCTCATTTTTAAAAATCGTAACTTATGACTATTAGAGCTGTGATGAATTCAGTATAAATCACAACAAGGTGTTTTGATTAGAAATCCAGCACAAAATCATTTTGAATCTTTATTTTCTTCTGATGCAAAATTTTATCTAAATAATTTAAAATATCTAATCTGTATTTCTGGCTTAACTTACCACTTTTATTGATTTTTCTTTCCTTAATATTATCTAATAAAAAATAAAGGCCAATGCTAAGATTTCAACATTGTGGTATGGAATCTGTTGAAATGATCACAAAATTGCAAATATCATCATATTAACGCTGAATCCCTGCTGCAGTAGTGTACATATAACTATAATGTTGTTTGATGATAACTGTTTTGAAAGTGTAACTCTACTCCATGTGTGCTGTATAGTAAATAATGTCAAATAATTTACTCTAAGTGGTTCTTTCTTTTTATTTTCCCCTCCAAGATGTTTTCTTTAGTTTCTAGGCAGTAAAATGCTGTGAATTTTTTAGTAATCATTTCTAATGGACAGTCGATCAGTAATGCTCTCCTCCTCCTTCCTTGCAGGTAAGATCGACATGGTGCGGTCCAAGTGGGGCCTGGCCCTGGCTGCCGTGGTCACAGTCCTCAGCTCCCTGCTCATGTCTGTGGGACTGTGTACACTGTTTGGACTGACACCCACACTGAATGGAGGGTAGGCACTCCCACATTTTTGTCATACTTGAGTTAAGATAGCTGAAAAAGGTTCGGTCCACACAATTGGTGGTTTGTCTTCCACCGCCAGACATTGTTGCTAAGAATTCAACCTAAAAAAAAAAGAACTAACTTTATGTTGAAGTTGTAGAACTTTCTATGAACCCAGCACCTTTTCTTTCATGTGAAGTGTTACTTAAAGGGTCCAGATGGATTTTAACTCCTTATCAGATTCATTATGTCTTTCATTCAGGATTATTTTTATTTGACCTGCATATTTGCACAATGCTTTCATTTATGATCTTTATCCATAACAGCAAGTATTACACCCATGTAGACTCGGCTATGATTGGTGCATAAAGTCACTTATAAGATTCACTACTTTTAGCTTCTGAACATCTGCAGCTTCTATTGAGTCACCTTAATGCTCTTAATTTGCATCCACATGTGTTTAGTAAACGTTTCCTGTTACTTTTATTACCTGTTGCTGTTTTCACTTGTCCACACACACACACTTCAGACTTCCGGCTTCTATTTCGATTTCCCAATAATGTGTGTTAATGTTTACTACCAGACTTGAAAAGTCAGTGTGTCATTGTTGATAGACAGGAAGCAGTGGGAGTGGATGTGGGTTGGATAAAGTCAGAGGGAGGAGATTCAGTCTTGTTGACGTTAACTACTTCGTCCAATCATTTGGGGATATAAAAGAGCTGACTTTGTGGCGTGATAATGGCACTCTGGTGTTCAACCACTGTCTAAGATCCACGCATGTCTGCCGTGGGCTGTGCTCTGTATGGGTGGGCTTGCACAAACACAAAGCAGGAGGAAACGTCACCAAACAATTGCAACTCCTACAGGTCATAACCTAAATAAATAAAAGTAATACTTTTTTTTTACATCACCTATCTACTTGAATTTATAAGACTCTCTGTTTTCATATGAATAAATAAAAAGGAACAAATGGGCCCTGATGTGGACTCTGCTTAGTCACTGTTGCTCCATGCTTAGGGCTGCAGAGTTAAGTGTGTGAGAGTGTGATGTAATACGTAGAGCTGCTGACTCCTCTGAGACCCAGTTTTACACTTACCTCCAAAGCGCTTGCTTATCAGGACACTCATTATAATCTCTCGTCACACTCTGTAATGGGAGGAAATTCCCTGCAGGCATCATTCAGTTACTAGCTAGTTGTTATGGGATAATTGGCTGTTTTACTGAAAGCTAATCTGAGATCTAAATGATCCAGATTTTTTGTTCCCGAATGTTCCCTTTGACAAACAAATCTGAATTTGTTTTAGACTTTGCTTCTTTTTTATTTGATTGTTGATTTTCTGTAGTATTTGTAAGAAGGGGCTGATCTTAAGTGCTGGATTGATCTGGTGAAAGTGTACAGTACCTTTGAGCAAACATCATTTTTGTTTGTGGCCTTTTTTCTGTAGTGATGCTGATTCACTTTCTTATTCGAACTTTAAAAATATATAAAGAAAAGATAAAGGAAAGAACAGAGTGAAAGCACATTTTCCCAGCCTGATGGCTGCCATTATGTGGCAGTGAGGAGGGGGAAGTCAGGAGAAATGTTGTCTGAGAGGCTGAGAATTTAAACATCTTTATACTTCACAAAAGTTAGTTCAACATTATCACAAAGGCTTCCTCTTCTTCTCCTGTTCTTACCAGCGTTGTTTATCCGATGCTTGCTAGAACACTTCCTGCAACAGCTGCTTCATCAGAAAGAAGCAGCTAAAAGTCCAACTTTCTTCATCTTAGCAGGTTTTTATTTATGTAGCTGGTAAAGTTTTTTTCTTTTAATCACTTTTTTTTTTCTCGGTTGGAAGGGTTTTCAGGGAAACTGCTTAAGACTTATAGTATATATGGTGACATGTCCTGTATATGTGGTAGCAATGTTTACAAATAAACACCTCCCAGCCTGATTATTTAGCTAGTCTACTGCACTGTCACAACCTGCTTCTCTCTAAAAGAAAATCAGACTGGAGGCAGACATGCATGTATAAACTGTTACTGTTTCTTCAGTTTTCTTTGTCTTTGAATTTTTATGTTCATTTACTGTTTGTTAATGCGATGTAAGCAATGGAAACCGAAGTAAAGTTCCTTGTCTGTGTAGCTAACCTGGACGGTAAAGATGATTCTGGTTCAGACGTAAAGACTTTTATGCTCTCTATGAGGAACTGAGCCCAAAAAAATCTGAGAAGCACAGGGAACTCCACTCTTAACATAAATCTGCGCCCAAAAAGAAAATGAGGGCAGCAAAACCAAACTAACACGATCAACTGCAGGATTAATTGACCTTAACACAAGCAGAGGTGTCAAAAGAATTAATGTTTAATACTCATGTAGAAGTAGAAATCCTACTGTTTAAAACACTTTTGTAGAATTTAGAATATCAACTTCAGCTTTTTACTCAAGTAAAAGTTTAAAAAATTACAATTTTCAAAACTACTTAAGGTATAAAAGTAACACGGTTGCTTTACTGAACTAGCCTATTAAAGGAACATTTTCCTACATTTATGGATGATGTTTTTAGACTTAATTTCTGTGTTTTATACCTAATGGCAACAGTGTCAAATTTAGCTTTGTGATATCTTGCAAAACAAGTCCAACTACAAAGAAATTGTCAGGATAAAACAAATTATTTGTGATGGTTATTTTATTTTTTTTTAATACCAACAGGCCATAAAGAGAATGACCTCGAAACAAAAGCAACGAGTCTATTTTTAAAATGTTAGGAGTAGAAAGCAGAGATAATTGAAAAAAAAAAAAAAAAATTGAAATAAAAAGTTGTCTAAAAAATTATGACTCCAGTAAAGTATAGCTAGTCAAAATTTCTACTTTAGTAAGGTAAGGAATTTTTACTTTGTTACCTGACGCCTCTGCTCACAAGAGGGAACATTACATGCATTTATCTAAACAAAACTACAACAAACAGACCAAGCCAATCTATACACTACAGAATCAGCAACCTATGAGAGAAAATAACTTAATTAAAGGTATAATGTTGAATTGTCACAAATTCGTGAAGAACCACCCTTTCCACTTTAAAAAAAATGCACATGCACAACCCCCTACCCACTGCAGAGAGGGAACGCTTATTAATAGCGTGCGAGAGCAAGCATAAGCCCCTCCTCTTACACGCTCTGTTAAAAAGTTACTGCTTACATCACTCATACAAACTTACTTTCCAAAAAAGATTTGCAATTTTTCTACTATGTCAGACTCTCCACCAGTAAGTGAAAATGTGGACAAGCACGAAGGACGGCCTTATGTAAACATATCAACAGAATGATTGACAATTAGGAGGACCATTTATTTTGATGATCAACCTGGAAAAAGAACGTCCTTCACTATATACCTTTAAACTCCAATTTTAAAAATAAAAAAAACTAACAAAATAAAAAAAAAATTAAACCTTCCCACACTTCTTGTAAAATAAGTGCAAGATTCCAATTAAGCTCTTTGGAGCTGGAGACTCTTGCTCCACACTGACCCAGTCAGGCCCACATGGCAGCCTCCCAGGAACTGGCAACCCAAATGAAAAGAATCAAGTACAATATGGTAAACCATTATAAAGTCATACGTTTAAATAAAAAGAATTACCAGACCACTTAATGTGGGGCTGCACATGCTACCATCACACTGACCTTTTTTTTCTTCTTCAAGTTAAGTCACAACTCTTTTCTCTTTGCAGTGAGATCTTCCCTTACCTTGTGGTGGTGATCGGACTGGAAAACGTCTTGGTCCTCACCAAGTCTGTGGTTTCAACTCCCGTTGACCTTGAGGTCAAACTCCGCATTGCTCAGGGTAGGGTGTTATTCAGTCATTCTTCTTTTTCAGGTTTATTGTAAAGGAAAAATACATATGCTTTGTTTTTTCCCTCCCTTCTCTAGGCCTCAGTAATGAGAGCTGGTCTATCATGAAGAACATGGCCACTGAGCTGTGCATCATTCTGATTGGATATTTCACTTTGGTCCCAGCTATTCAGGTTAGAGAAATGTGTTTTAATTACTGTACTATGGGGAACAAGTAAAGGATTTTATATATATTTATCTTTCTGGATTCTAAACAAGTAGATGAATCTGTTAAACAAGAGATAAACTATTAGAATATGAAGTGATGTCAGCTTATTTTTGTCTGTAGGAGTTTTGTCTTTTCGCCGTTGTGGGGCTCGTCTCTGACTTCTTCCTCCAGATGTTTTTCTTTACAACAGTCCTGTCTATAGATATTCGCCGGATGGAGGTAAGACATGTTTGCAAACTTTAAAGAAGCTCAGAAAAGGAAGCCAATTCTCAGATTTACAGTCTAAGTTTTTAGTTCAGTCTTTTTGCATATAATGAAACCAAATGGTGGCTGGGAAATGTGATTTAATAAAACACAAATGTCTTTATTGGTAGGGAAGTTGGACAGTAAAAATTATGACATAGGTGTGAATAAAAACACTTAAGCAGATAAGAACAGAAGTAAATTTGGATAATAAAACTCGGGAGATTCAATTCAAATGGTCGGAACTGAAATTTAACACATTTTAAAAAAGAAAAAGTATTTGTCTCCTAATCAAGCCTAGTTCTCGCACTGTTGGAAAAAATGTCCTGTGTTTGGTTTTACAAACATTAACAGTAGTGAAGTCCCTAACATAGAATTTAACTTATGAATGGTTGTTGTTAAAACCTTTTTCTTACATTTTCCTCCTGAGAAAATGCAAACATCGCACTGGGGACCTTAGAGTTCACCTTTTTTTTTATGTACTTAAGGTTTTCATACAAATGAAAAACTACACTACAAGGTTTAATTGAATATAAGCATTCATAACATAATAATCTTAATGATTGTTTCATTTAGCCTTTGGGGATCAGAAAATAAAGAAAGATGGACGACAGGAAGCAAAGAATTATCTTAAATGAAAACTGAATAGCACATAGAACACATAAATTTGACAAAATGAACAGTTAAAAATTATAATGGTAATGAAAAACGGTTATAAGGTAATAAATGATTTGATAACTAGATAAGATGACGTTTTTTTACTCTCTTTACATGGAGTCTGCATGACTTTAAGTGACGTAAAGTAATAAGACTAAACCAATTACAGCTGGCCGACCTGAACCGCCGCCTGCCTGCTGAAGCCGGTCTGCCACCATCAAAACCAGGCCCCCTTCGAACACGTGAGGCCCCCCCTCCTCCCCGACCAACCCCCCACACAATCACCCTGCAGACCCCGGCCTTCAGGAACCTGAGGCTACCGAAGAGACTGCGCGTTGTGTACTTCCTGGCCCGCACACGCCTGGCGCAGCGCATCATCATGGTCAGCCAACTCGACTCCTGTTTAAACAATAGACTCTGTCTAATTTTAGTCTTTTTATTTAGGTAAATCAATTCAGACTGTATAGTATTGGAGATGCACCGATCCGTTTTGTTTTCCGGATCAAATCCAATCATATCCTCTGATATCTGATTCAACTGTTGAAATTCTAAACCACACATCTTGTCATGTGAGACGGCTTTAGTCTTGACATAGACCTTGTTAAAAAAGGTAACAAATTAACATGGATATAAAATGTATTTCATATAGTTAATTAACAAATAAGTAGCAAAAAGAAATAAACAGCAGTTCCCTCCAAGTGCACTGGATTGGATTGGTGCATCTCCATATTTGATACCTGTAGGGTTAGTTTTTTGTTTTTTTTTTACTATTATTTATTTTGTAATGTGCTACTGTAATTCCCTATTAGAAATGCAGCATCTAGTCTTTGCAGTTAGATGAACTAATTTATTCAGACATTTTGATGTCATTACTTTCAACTAAAGCTTTCGTCCTTTTTCTCATCACAGCTCAATAAACTTTAACATTGTTTCCTTTCTACATTTTAAGGCTGGTACTGTAATCTGGATCGGCATCCTCGTCTACACTGACCCGGCTGGAATCCGCACCTACCTGGCTGCTCAGGTGTCTGAACAAAGCCCTCTGGGGGACCCCGTAGGTGGAGGTTTAACCCCCCATCTGGCAGTGGCCCCAGTTTTCCGGGGCGGGGATCCCACCAGCACTTTGAGCATCCACCCTGCTCCCGATCCAACTCCCCTACCTGAAAACCAATCGCAGGGCCACATTGCCCCAGCTGTACCGTTCCCCCATCTTCCCTCTGTGCCACAGATTACCTGGGGGGCCGAAGATGAGGAGGGATGGAGGAGGCTGTCTTTTAGACATTGGCCATCGCTTTTTAGCTACTACAACATAACCTTAGCAAAGAAGTGAGTGTTGACTTCAGTTCTGCACCTAATGTCTAAATTCTGTCCAACTTAACCAAATTCCATTCAGCTGCTTTTCCATTTCAGGGAAGCATAAAAGATAAAAATTATTTCGATCTCTAGGTTCCTTCTGTGTTTAAAGTCTTAGCATTAGATCCTGTGTGGATTGAAAATGATATCCTCCCTGTCCATTCCAGGTACATCAGCCTTCTTCCAGTAATTCCCGTCACCATTCACTTGAGCCCCCAGGAGGCCATTGACACGCGTCACCCTCAGGACACAAGACACCCTCCACCTTCGATCCCTAAAGCCTCTGCAGATTTACAGACAGACCTCACCCTCTACAAGTAAGTTTTTAGAAAAACCCAAACTCTGTTTTATGAAAAGAAACCATAAAACAGGACAGTATTTGATTTCATTTAGAGGGGAAATGGAGATCAGACCAAACATGTCGGATTATATAAAAATGAAACCTGTGACGAAGACAAAGGAGGACGAAGGATAATTTTTTTTTTAAAGCTTAGTATATGATAATATCTAAAGTATGACGCACATGTATTTATGCCAGGGCCAAAAGATTTAGCCAAAAATCCAAACTGCTATTTTTGTCCAACCCCACTATCACGGTTGATCTTCCTTGGCACAACAAACAAGCATGGAGAAGTTTCTGTTCAAGGTTTATCGTTTGCATGACCTTGAAAGCCTTATTTTCCAGGGTCTATAACTGCCACCTAAAGGGCTGGAGTGAGGCGGTGTCTCACTCTTTTTAAATTTGAAGGGACCAAAAGTAAATGCCTCTGAGGTTTTTGAAAATTGTGTTTTGCTAAATTGTGATTATATAAAATCAAAGGAATTCCACCCTTAATTTTATGCTAATCTGAGTGTTGGGAAATTTAGATGGAAGTGGCTTGTAAAAGGTTTTCTCTTTCCACTGTACACATGCTTTCTTAAAAAAAAAAAAAAAAAAAAAAAAAAAAAAAAAGATTGCTTCAGACAAAAACGGGCAGCAATCATCTTTTATATTACAGGCAACCAGTTCAGGTTATCTGATGATCAATGTATGCTACTACATTACACAGTATATATAATCAGATTTTAAAGTAATAATATTGATTTCATTATAATTACATGAGCTAATCTGAATTAAATTCTAAATAATGACCTAAATTACAAATTATGGTAAGTTCCTTTAGGCAACATTGGTTATAATTTGATGTTGTTTAAATAAACTGAATAAAATAAGATGAAAAAGATATCTAATTGGGGTATGATTGTTGCATTTTTCTATATTTGGACATTGGAAAATTCTTGTGCAAATTATTTTACAACAATGTTTTAGTTTCAAGACTAAACCTGTAACATAGCAGCTACTGCTTTTACAAATCTAAGACCTTGACCTTGATTTTTAATCCATGAAAAGCTTTATTCAAGGTCATGTAGAATGATTGCTGCTCCAACACCAATTTAGGGCCAAATTATCCTAGTATGGATATAAAGACCAGAATTGGATCATTTATGCAGTTTTGCTAAGATGTCTGATTTGAGGTAAAGTTGCAGAATTCCAGGTTCCTGGAATAATTTCACCTAATTCTTGTTTTTAAAAAGCCTTGAAGTTTGTTTTGATGATCATTCTTTATAAACAGTAAAACAGAAAAGTAAAACATCCCCGATGACTGCAGGTGAACATTTGTCCAAACAGCAGCTCTTTGCTTTAAAATAAAAGGCAGCAGTTGCCGACTGTTTGATCATGCAGAACCAGGGGGGGGATGATGAAAAGACAATAGTTCTTATGTTACTTCAGCAAAAGATTCACTGTTTGAAGTGGCTTCATCGGTTGGTTGATCTCAGAACCCACAGACGAAGGAAGCAATCAGGTGTAGAAATGTTAAGTTAATCCTCTTTAAGAGCCTTTATTTATTCAGCTGAAATCAGAGCACATCTGTAAATACTGATAGTTTTTTTTCCCACTATGATACATTTTTGAAGCCATAAAACCAAAACACAGCAACCAGGAAACCTGCTCCATCTCCTGCTTTCTTAGTCCTACAACCTGATGTATCCTTGTGTTTTTAGTCCGTTATATAAGGTTGTGTGTTGACTGCATTCCACTGAAGTAGAAACTGTTCATTTCAGTTCAAACTGTATCTATGGAGGGTTTTCTAAATAATTGGGTCAGGGTTGTGACCCTCACAGTTGGAAAAGAGGCAGCTGAGTTCATCTGACCCTGAGCTGGATAGAAGGCCAGTGTGATAAAGATCAAAGTTGCGTAATTCAACAGACAGAGAGGAGAGAGTGATGAAATATGAGAAACTGCTCTGTAGAAAGGGTCCGTTTTTACAGTTGGAGCCACAATAAGCAGCTGCATCTTTTCCTGCTGATGGTTCTTGATTCAATGGAGAATAGATGTTAAACCAGTTTGCCGAATGGCTTCCTTTATTTTAGGCTAAACCTTCTTTTAACCAGGAATGTTTCACACAGATTCCAAGTATTCATAACAAGGCAGTTCCATGCACTCTTACCAGATTCCTGGAACAAAGACAGTCGCCCCATGGCGTGCAAGGTAAAGGTGAGCCGCTGTGGAGATAACGTGTGATTCACTTTGAAGTCAAGCATATACTAGTCTTTTCAGGGAAGTGGAATGTGCTCTGTGTTTGAGGACATTTCCTAACCTCTGATTCTACTGCCTTTTTTTTGGTGAAAACAAAGTAAAGATGAACGGTTGAGACCAACATAATGCAGCAAATCAGTAGGTCTCTTTAAACCAAATAAAGAAAGTAGAAATCCTTCTCTTTAGTTGTAATCAGTGGCAGGATTGTCGCTGTCTCTCTCTGGTCCTGTGAATTTAAGGTTTGTGGAAAGGTACCTGAATACTTTTAAACAGCAGGCTTGCTTTAATGTTTTAAAGAAAATTCTGTTTATTATAGAGAGAAGAATAAATGAGTCAAACTGGTTGTATCTAGCATCCTGATGATGTCGATGGAATTCCGTTATATTTCACATTTTAAAGAATGTCACACTGCTTTGGATCATCTGATCATCGCTTAAGCTCCACATTCCTCAGTCGACAGCAGGCGGATTTTCCTCAGCCAGGTTTATGCAGCTCAACGTGCTGTATGATGTTTTTAAGACGGTTATCTGCAATTATAAAAATGTTTAACGGAGACAGATATCTGGAAGTGGGGTTCCTTAAATGACCCAACTAGTGTTTTACTGCACATTCTTCCCCTCACTCTTCATGTCCAGGGTTGCTGCTTTGGGTCTGGCTGCAGGGGTCCTGCTTGTTCTGCTGCTCTTCTGCCTCTACCGTGTCCTCTGCCCTCGGAACTACGGCCGAAACGGCGTGGCTCACGGGCGCCGGCGGCGAGGCGACCTGCCCTGCGACGATTACGGTTATTCTCCACCCGTCAGTGAGATCTCACCTCTGCTGCTGAGGGGCCACAGTATGGTGAGGAGGGATTATAAAGATGGCGCTAATAAAAAATATAGCATGCTATTGGAAAACATATTTACAAACACCACTCCACTCATTCTTCTCTTGCAGGACATTGAGTGTTTGGCCAGTGATGGGATGCTGCTGGCGAGCTGCTGTTTGGCCGGTCAGATCCGTGTTTGGGATGCCCAGACTGGCGACTGCCTGACAGTCATCCCAAAGCAAGGGTGAGGTTAAAAATCCGATCATTTTTGTTCTTTAGCCCATTTAAATATCTAACATACTTTATGAAATCAGGGCAAATAATTTCCAATCCATACAATTGACCTTTTTTAATGTAATACATGATTTGTCCAAATTAACCTTTTTATGAGGGATTTTTCTAAAGATCCTTCCAGGTTTTTTTTTTAGCTGAAATGAAGATGAGATGTTTTCTAAATTTAAAATGTATGATTGATCATCAACATGTTGTTTCCAACTTTATATCTCATATTTATTCTCCATACAGTTCATAAAATCAGAATTAAATGAATTGATGCAGATGAGTTTGTGAAAATGATTTGATTAAACTAGAAAAAAAAAACATTCTACAGGCGTTAACATCATCTAAGCTGTTTTAGGGTGTAATGTTACATCAGTCTCTATTTTTAATCAGTGTAAATACGACTAAATGTTATCATTAACCCATAGAAAGCACCTGGATCCTGCATTGTTTTATTAACCCTTATCTGCGTCAGAAACACTGCTAGGTCAGCTTAACTTTGCAGAAAGGCTCCACGTTGCAGACTTGTCTGCTCTTGCTTAACTGTTGTCCTGCAAACATTCTTGGAAGTAATCAGCCATAATTATTCTTAGAATCAGGACATGTCTGTAAATCTGCTTAATTAAAAGGAAGTACTTATAGCAAATCCTGCCAATTTTTTTGTTTTTTTTTTTGTTTTTGTATTACAGGTACAACTTAAAAAAAAAAAAAACACTGTAAAAAAGTTACATATATTTACATGAAACTATTATATAGACTCATACATAGGGGGTGAAATACTTCAGCCCTCTATTTCTTGTTATTTTGATGATTATGGATGACCTATAATCAATAAGGAAAATATGACTGTCAAATTTAATAATAACCCTGTTAAATTGTATAAAAAACATATAACTAATGATTAAATGTCATTACTTTGTCCAGGAAAACCGGTGATTTAAGGGAGAATCAGACATTAAACAACAGCTCAATGGAGATTAAATTGAAGTTTAGAAAACCTAACAATTCATAAAAATATTAACTGAAGTATTTTTCAGTTAGTGTTTCAAAGTTATCTAGGAACCAATTGGTAATTAAAGATCCATTAAAGAGGGAAACAGTTCAGCATGTTGCACATTTCTCTTTGCCATTAGGGCTGATTATCGACCATATTTGATGTGGTATCAGTCACAGTTATGATAAGAAAGGTTTATCAATAAAAAAAGTAATCAACAATCCTCATGGTTGGTGAACTTTGGCAGAAAAAAAACACCTTGGACTTAACAGTTCCCTCTAAAAACTGTAAGACACTTTGAATATCACAATTTAAACAATTTAATTTTTTTTTTGAAAAAAGGGTCAACCACTTCATTTTAAGTGGGGTTTTTTTTCCATAGCATCCTTTTTTGATAAATAAAAATAATACTTTAAAAACTAAACTCCATAAACATGTTGGTGGTTCACTTTGAAATTACATCCAGTCTCAAATTTGTAAAAAACAATCCAGAATTTTTGTTTCTCATAAATTAATGAGTCTGGCAGGATGTGGTAAAGTCTTTTTCTTCACTGGTTGCTCTGGTTTCCCCTCAGATTGAGACGATGCAGCAGCAGTGGCTGCTGGGAGCAGAGAGACGTCTGGGACACCAGTGCAGAGTCGGAATGTGGCTGTGATCCTCGGGACCCCTCCAACGGCTGTGACGGGATGTCAGAGGACGATTGTTACCCGCTGAGACGGCGCTCCGCACCGACTCGGCCGCCTCTCTTCACTGACCAGCCTGACCTGACTCCTCTTATAGACACCAACTTCACCTCCCAGCCGCCCTCCAACGTCTCCACACCGCCCAGAGGAGGGTTCGACTTTGGAGGCCTGGTGGAACGTGCCTACAAGGAACACGAGCCTCCATCACCGTCTGCCTACCCCTCCCCTTCCTCTGCGTCCTCCTCGCCTCCATTAGCCACTCAGCTACAGCGAAGCCCCAGTCTGGGGGACACATCTGGACTCTATAACCAAGAGAGAACCTCTGGAGCGGGGACACAATCTGCTGCAGACTGGGAAAGCTCCGTCTGGGCCATGGAGCTGAGAGGAAATCTGATAGCTGCTGGGAGGAGCAGCGGTAAACTGGAGGTGTGCAACGAGCTGCTCTGCAGTTATACGTTAGCGACGGTTTCTTCTATTAGATGCTGGAGATGGTAGAAATAAAGAGCAGTTAAACCGAACGTTTGATTTCTCCATGTGGTTTCAGCTGTGGGACGCAGTAGAAGGGTCACTGCGGTGCAGTAATGAAGATGGAGTCTCTGGGATCACAGCCTTAGCCTTTCTGAACAACAGGTAAAAACCAGATCTGAGCCAAATGCATTGGTTAGATTTAAAGCACATGGGTATATATGTTCATTCCTTATCTTTCAGACAAGTATAATCCCTTAAATGTGCGATGAACTTGTTGCATATTTCATGCTTTCAGTGTTTCTGTATTTCATTTAATCCTTCAGATCAGTTGAAAATCTTCTTTTCCATTTAAGCTACTTCAGATCTCAGAAACTGACAAGAAGCACAAACTAATCCTTCATCCACTGATTTAAAGTGCATTTTAGAACAGCTTTAACAGCAGATAATCTAAAAATCAATCCTCAGTCTTAATCTAAACTATTAATCAGATTGGTGTACACTACATCCACTAAGGATTCTCTTGATACTGTAGGAGACAGAGTTGATAGACGTCCAAATATGGCCTCTGACGGTGAAACTAAAGATGCATCTCATCAGTTTGGCTTTAGTTTAAGTCAAATTATTTATTGGATTATTTTTTTATATACATATATATCTTTTAGTTATTGATGTTTTGTGATTAAATATGATTTACCTTTGTTTCCTTTTATTTCTTTTTTTATGTAGGAATCCCTACAGAGGATAGTCTCTGACATGTTAATCATTTAATTTCACAATTTTAGCAAAGAGGATGAAACATTTTAGTATTTTGACTTAAACTTCAGTAAATATATTATTAAGATAGAAGACTCTAGCAGGTGTGTTTATATCTCTGTACTGTTATATTAGATTTCTTTCAAAAATGTTTTTCTGTTTTTTTTAAGGTTTTTAAACTGTCGTTTTAATCTTTTTTTTTAACCTACATTATTTTTATTTGTTTGGTTTTAGTGTCTTTATGGTTTAATGCAATAATTGGAAGAAGGTTCTGATCTGTTTGCTTCCCAGAATCGTGGCAGCGCGACTCAACGGGTCGTTAGATTTCTTCACTGTTGACGTTCATAAGCCTCTGGGTCTGCTGCAGTACAGAGGTGAGACTGATTGTTTGGACTGTCGGAGGCAAATTCAGTTTCATTTCATCGTATTTCAGTGTCGGACTGAGACAGAATAACCATAAAAACCCGGAGTAACGGAGAGGAGCCTTCTCCTGCCTTTCTCCTCTGCAGGTGCCCCCGGGCGAGGCAGCATGCCCCCGTCTCCCTGTTACAGCAGCGAGGACATGATCAGCTGTCAGCTCACCCGCTCAGTGCAGTGTGCGCACCAGAAGCCGATCACGGTGCTGCGAGCGGCTGCAGGCAGGGTGGTCACCGGCAGCCAGGACCACACAGTCCGGGTAACAAAAAAAACATGAAATCACAAACGCACTAAGAAAAAGAATCACTGGCGCTTCTGTTTAGTAATGCTTGTAATTCTGTGGTGTTCCCTGTGTGATCAGGTTTATCGGCTGGAGGATTCCTGCTGCCTCTTTACCCTGCAGGGTCACTCTGGGGGGATCACAGCCATCTACATTGATCAGGTCCGTCACAGACTGACAGCAGTTAAAGTATTCATTAACCTGCTGATTGTTGGAGTCACAGTCATTTAAAGAAAGGCACAAACATTTTGAAGGGATTTAAAGGTAGATTGGATGATGTTTTGTTTCCAGGTGGATCATCAAAATAAGTGGTCCTCCTAATTGTAAATCATTCTGGTAATATGTTTAGATAAGGCCGTCCTACATGCTCGCCCCCATTTTCACTTTTTTATTTTTAGTTTTTACGGCACTAGTGGCTCGTTTTTTTCCCGACAGCATACTGACAGGAAAGGGAGCATGAGAGAGGGGGAGGGACAGGCGGGAAAAGACCACAGGTCAGATTCGAACCCGGGTCGCCCACATTGAGGCCTAAAGGGCTGGTTATAGTCCCTGCAGCAGTGTGTCGCAGTGAGGTTGACGCTGACATTTTTGAGCATACGGCATTTTGAGCATTTTGAATGCGGCCGAGGCAGTGAGGAAGCGGGGGTGGGTTTGTCCGACAACGCAGGGACATTAGGGGGCAAAAAAGAGCGGGGATCCAGGTGGAAAAAGGGTCCCAGCGTTCTCGCGCACCTCGCTCTTCTAGCTGATCCAACTTCACGAGTTGTTTTCCACAATTGCGGTCATGAAAACAAAACAAGCCGGCCTCCTGTCTACGACACTGTCTGCAGTCACCTACAATTTGGGAGAGGTGCAGCAGAGTGTCTGCGGAGGGGACGGGGACATCTTTTTGTTCACTGCGACACATACACAGATGACCTAGTTTCGAAGTATAAATCAGCCTTAAGGCCTCCGTACAAGGGTTTTACGCGCTAACCGCTGCGCCATCTGCAGTGGAGAGGGTGGGTCTTTTTAAAAATTAAAAAATTCGCAAAAATCACGCACTATACCTTTAAAATACAGTTAAATGCAGTAAACACCAAGTAGGCTGCAGGTCGTTTTATATTCTACAGAAAGTGGGGGGATTGTGTGAATATCTATGAATGCATCAAAGCATGTGTCCAAACTAGTAAAGATAAAAGATGTTGACGACTTTAAAGACTTAAAAATGTTAAAATTGTTCAGTTTCATTAGATGTAATGAACTGAAGCTCTGGGTTAGGAGGGGATATGATGTGATGAGAGAATTTCAATCTTATTTTTTTGTTTTGATATCAAATCATTCTTTGAAAGTAATTCAATTAAACGAGTTTTCTTTTCATCAGTTCGTCTTTTTAAAATGCTCTAATATGACTTTTCATCAGACCATGGTTCTAGCAAGCGGCGGGCAGGACGGCGCCATCTGCCTGTGGGATGTACTGACTGGGAGCCGTGTCAGTCATGTCTATGGTCACCGTGGCGACGTCACCTCCCTGGTCTGCACTACCTCTTGTGTCATCAGCTCAGGACTGGATGATCTCATCTGTATCTGGGACCGCAGCACTGGCATCAAACTCTACTCCATCCAGCAGGTACAGAACGGGTCACAGAAATCAAGCTCAGGATATTTATTCAAATATTTAGTATTCAAAATAAAAAACCCTAGGTAAAAAAGTCAAACTTTACAGTTTTTCTTCTGTTGGTTTAAAATTTTTGGGGGAAAAAAGTGATAATCTGCTGAGTGGGACTAACTGATGGATCTCCTCACCAGGAGGTGGGCTGTGGGGCCAGTCTTGGCGTGATCTCAGAGTCCCTGCTGGTGACGGGGGGCCAAGGATGCGTCTCCTTCTGGGACTTGAACTTCGGCGACCTGCTGCAGACAGTCTACCTGAGCCAGAGCGGCGACGGTCAGGGCGTCCGGCAGCTGCTAGTGCTCGATAACGCCGCCATCGTGTGTGACTTTGGCAGCGAGCTCAGCCTGGTCTACGTTCCCTCGGTGCTGGAGAAACTGGACTGAGGAAGAGCAGCAGCCGGCACCACTGGGAAACACTCAGAACCTCCATTCATCTCATTTTTTTTATACATCATTCATGAGAAGATTAAATGTTGAGGGAAAAAAAAAACATCACAAGGATCTTGGGAGATGGAATCAAATCCCTCATTCCGCCATCTTGTTTTTCTTCTAAGAGCAAGCTTGTGCGTTTGGTTGGTTGCTCTGCCCTTGATGCTGCTGACTCATATGGAACCGTCTGTGATCCAACCCTGTGAAGGACGACAATGGAGCCATTTCTTTATTTTTTTTTTAATTGACAGCATCATAAAGTCACAGTGAACCCAACAGTTCTCGGGCCTGTTTGGATGGACCGAGCAAACACCTTCTGAGGAGACGACATGATTGGGGAGGATGTGTGAGCGTGTGCATACGTGGAGGGGAGAAGTGATGATTACTGTAAAAAGTAAACCTCCGATGGAGGCTGTTTTTATATGTATAAATCTATTATTTATTAGCTAAATTTTTTCAGTAACGGTTTGTTTGTGGGTGACTGATCCCAACTCTTAAACTTTAATATAAAGCGGAAATGATGACTTCAGATGTAGGAAAGGTGTTTGTTTGGCAGCGTTGAGCCATTGTTTTTAAACTGGCCATTTGTTGATATTGAGTTGGAGCATTGAAGGCATCAGTGGGAAACATTTATCAGAGGAGGGGGAGGGAAGGGGGGGTCTAATTTACGCTATTCCTTCATCAGGCTACCTCTTCAATTTTGTTGACTGATGTGAACAGGTTCTTATTGCCTTTTTTTGCTCTTATTTCACCTTCTGAGGTATTTTCTTAGATTTGATTTAAAGATTTTAAGTTGCTCGTTTAAGTTCTCAATTATCTGCAAAAAGGCTTAAATTGGAAGACGTTTCGACTCCTGGATAGTCGAAACGTCTTCCAATTGGCTCGGACCAGAGCCGTCTGTAGTTGGAGAGCTGACGTATTTAAGCAGCATGGAGGTCCGTCCTCCTGCACACATTCCAGGACAGAGGCAAAGATGCTAATTGCTTGACTTTGAAACTTTTGGCTACAGCTGAACAATTTTCCTATGTCACAACTTCTGCAACAAGTTAACAGTTTACGTTTGGGGGAATTGAAGCAGGTAACATCTAGAGCATGCAGATCACCAGCTCCTCTGGTGTGCTAACCCCCAGAGGAAATCATTGAATCATTTCTGTCTGGGATAGGCTGAAAACTCATATCAGATAAAAGCACCTTAAATCTGAGCTGACAACAACCTTCAGTGTAGATGTTGATACAATCAGAGGTATTTAATGACAAACCAGAGGAAAATAAAGCTGCTTAATAGGAAGTTTGGTTCATTCAGGCTCAAGTTTATAAAAGGCAACAAGAATCTGCAGATATTTAAGCAACAACTTTGATCTGTTTGATGGAACAGAGTTAAGCTAAAGATTTTACTATAACAGCTGAATTTATATGGAGACTGATGTTCAAAGTCTTATCACTAAAGCACACTTTGAAATTGCTTCTGATCCCAGTATTAATAGCTAGAAATAATAATAGTTGATGAAAATATTTTAAATGTTCAATCAAAATAGTCTAAAAATTTTTATCTGACCGGTTTATCTATAAAAATACAGGAATACTTCCTAACTTCAATGCAGTTGTTGCTTTGAGACCCAGTCAATTTTTTTAAAAGCATTTTAATTTGCTATATGGAGAAAAAAAACATTGGAAATCCTGGTAGTTTTCAGAGATCATATTTGAATTACAAACGGATATATAAAGATCAGGATTTAACTTGATCAAATAAAGAAAACATATAAGACAGTCCTGGAAAACATAGTTGTAAAGGTAAATTACCTGGAAAACACAAGGAACAAAAAAATTGGAAAATGATCTAATATTTTTCCAAGATTAGTTTTTTTTTTTTGCATTTTCACAGGAGCTAAGAAAAAAAATCTCCGTATTCCCTAAAAGCCACAAGCAAACATTTAATTAGATCCTTCTGAGGCAAAAATATGTCAGATTACAGGAAATAGAAGTCATGTAATCAGTCCCTGATCTTATTTGCAGTTTAGAAAATGTTGGGAATGTAAACCACATCATGATTGACTTATTTCCTCAGACAGAGAAAACCTAGAATGTATTTTATCTACAAATCTTCCCATCTAGTTTGTTCGTCTCCTGAATGTAGCCTCAGGCCACTTTGTTTTGATTTCTTCCCCTCACAGGATGCCGTCACGACACAAACTTAGTGCACTACTATCTGATATTCATGCTTGCATATTTTAATGCACTTTTGCTAACGCCAGCTTCCAGGTAGGAGAGGTTGGGTGTGTTTAGGCTCACACCACATCCGCACTGGTTTCTGTGGGACGCTGCCAACATGTTTACATTCAGGGAACAAGCTTCTGACCCCCACAGATTATGAGAACCAGAGTTTTCATACGTTTTTAGACAAGCAGTCTTAAAATTGCAGCTGCCTCCCACAGACTCCAGTTGATGTGGCCTGTTTGTAATAGCTGCCATGTTTATTTAGTAATCATTTGTTTTCTGTTTAGTCGAGAAAAGCTTTGAAACTGGATTTGTAGTTTTTTTAAGTTTGTTTTTTTTCTAAAATGTGAATGAATTAAAGCTGCAGTTTGGCTTTTTGGGAAATATGACTATTTGAGCTTTTTATATAGAAGTAGGACGGCAACAGAAAGCAAAATAAATACAATCTGAAAGTAATGTTTTAACGGCTAAATCCAGCCGTTAAAACAGTGGCAGCAATATTTCCTAAAATGTCAAACTTTTTGGGGGTTGGGGGGGGATCATGTCAGTTTTAGCTTTTTTATGAATGTGGTTCATTATGGACCTTTTTATTTTTTAATCATCCACACTCAGCAGCACCCCTTCCGTTAAAGAAGCTGCTTACTTGTCGTTACTTTGAACTCATCTTCTCATGCTGACGCTTTCAGCTCCTCCATACCAGGAGTTTATGAATGCAGTGAACATTTCCTGTAACCATGGTTAGAAATGAGTCGACATGATTTCATCTCCACGTCTGGACAACAGCCGCGAACCTTTTAAACAGAGAAAACATGATTTCCTGCTCGCGGTTGTTCTCCCGCAGGCTGTTCTAACAGAGGTAACTTATTTTGTAACGATAAAAGTAAAACTTTGTACTAATTTTCAAATAAAGAGGCTCTGATGCAACATTTTGTCTACTGAATTTATTGATTATTTTTACAATAATGAACAATAAGTGATTTTTTTTTTCCAGTAAAGTAAGATTTCCTTTGGAATTTTCTAACTTTATCTAGGATATTTACAGAGTTACAGAGAAAGGGGGGAAAAAAGTCAATATTGTTAAAAAGTTCCAATGACCTCGTGCCTTCACATTCACAGCAGCCTTGTTATGCTTTAACAGCCTCATGGAGAGAGGATTGTAAAACTGGAGTGCATACTTTTTAGATGGCCCATATGTTGGAGCAGGAAGTGCACATCTGTCTAAACATAAAAAAAAAGCAGCAAAGAATGACAATCTGAGAGAGGCAAGTGCATAGTGATCTGGTCCTGGAATCCACCAGTGATGAAAAGAGAAGCGAGTGTTTTTGATTCAGGGATCTCTCTATTACTGCTGGCATTCAGGCACATCTTGGTAATCACCACTAAAGTGTATCTGATGCTCCCAGGATTCAGTGTTTTTCTTAAAAGCAGAATTAGAGGAAAAAGAAAAAAAACCCACCAGCATTCTGCTGACACCTGGTGGTGGAAATAGAGTAATGCAGATTGTCTGGAGTTCTCTCACTGCTTATTGAGGCTCCAGAGTGGATCCAGGCTACTGAGCGGGTCGCTGCCGTCATCGCCGCGGGTTCCATGGATGCCCTGACCTTCAGCTGGCTGCAGGAAGTTCTGCTTGGTCACCCGCTGCTTCCCTCGACCTCCTCCCTCCAGGGAGAAAGCCTCAGGCGTCATAGAGGCCAGAAGCTCCAGCGATGAAAGAGCTTGAGCAGAGGATGAACCGATGGAAGGTACAGACTCTGGGGCAGGCTGATGGTTAGGTGCTGGTGGAGTAGATGGGGAGAGATTATCCAGGCCGTTTGGGGGTGGAGGAGAGTGAGTGGAAGAGGTGAGAGGTGGGCTTAAGGATGAGGGAGGCTGAGAATCTGCTGGAGGACAGGGCTCCTGTGACAACTGCAAGCCCCCTATGGGGTCCAGCTGTGGTGACATAGCTCCAAACTGCTCCTCCAGCCCGCAGTAGGCACTACCCTCCATGGTGGGGTCTGCGCTGGGTGGGCGGATGCTGAGCTTGGCGATGGTTGCTTGAATGGAGCTGATGGGCATGTCGCCTCCAAGGACAAGATCCTGCTGGGACTCTTGTCTGGAGTAAGGCTGAGGAAGGGGTTCACAAAAAAAGACAAATGTTACAATTTAACAGAAAAAACTGTATAATGAAGACCCCTCCAACTACCGGTACCACTGGTTCGTTTCTGATAATGGAGAACAAGTATCTGCTGACCAGAGCTCCTTTAAAAATGAAAAACAAGTAGAGACAAGATCAGGTTTGTCTTTAAATAATTAGAAAAGGGGATTAAAAAAAAAAATTCTCTTAACATTGAGGGCTTTGAGGGACAGTATTATCTGGATCTTAATCTGACTGATCTTTGAACCAATTCAACTTTAACAACCTGTTACTGCAGCAGTAACAACACAGAGGTCTGTTCAATATGACTAAAAATATCCTCTGCAAGAAAACATTCCAAATTCTGATATGTTTAGAAAGTTAACATAATAAATTGACCTCTTTTTATAGCCTGCATGTTGAAATGATGCTCACCCGTTTGTTTTTAGGCCATAAAACTGTTCGCCTCTGTTTGCCAGAGTAAAACTTTCCTAAATGTAAATTGTTTTAAGATCCATTTTGTGCTGGGATTTGTATTTTTATCTAAACCAATAAACAGACTTGAAAGTAATTTTAAAAAAGTTTGAAAAATGAAAAATATTTGGAAACCTTTGTGGCTGCAGCGTTGGTGTTCTTGCTGTAGGTGGCAGTAGTGATTCCATGGCGCTGAAGGACCTGCTCAGCGTGCTTTAACACAGCTTCATAGCAAAACTTCAGGTGGAACTGGAGGCAGGAAAAAAACAAAAAAAACAAGTCCTTTAACATAGAAAAATGTTTATATCAAAGACTATTGATGATCTAAAGAACCTGGTTATTATGAAACAGGTCAAATGCAGATTATTTTCCAAATCAATACCACAGGGTTGCATCTCACCTTCTCCTGCAGCATGTTCTTCCTCTGCTGTCTCATCTTCTTCACCAGCGATGGAAGGTCCGGGATGCCGTTTCCTGCCTCCAGCTCCTGCAGAGCCGCGTACAGCAGACAGAAGGCGCCGGTGCGTCCAACACCAGAGCTGAAGCAAAAAAAATTCAAAAGCTGATATTGGCACCATTTTAACCAATAACTGCATGTGGGGATGTCTGGCAGCCTGATGTTTAACAGTCAAATATGCAGCCATGTACAGCTGTTCATCCAACTAATGCAGCAGCTGCTGTCAGTATTCAGAAGACAGAGTGCTTGAATAATGAAGAAATGAGCGCTGGTGCTTAAACATGCAAATCAGATGTTAAGTGTCTGGTACTGCATAACTCGGCTTACCTGCAGTGCACCACAACAGGAGTCTGTAAGGGCCTCTGGTGGAGGTAGTGTCCATGAACCTCCTGGATGAATCGCAGTAAATTGCTCTTGCAGTCAGGAAGGCCCCTGGTTAAATAAGAAGCAGCAGCTTATTTTTCTATCTGAAGAAACTTTTTATGTTTGTAGCCTAGAGGACTTAACTATTCTTTGTCATTCTCTTCATTCAAAAAGAATGCAAAAAATGGCTTGTAGAGAGCCAAATATGTGGGCACTAAGGTTTTCTGTGTGTATTTAAATCATTTTACAATTAATTTTTAATTATTTTACATGAATTGTATTTCTTAACCATAAAGTTTTTTATGTAATTGGTATTGTAATTTTATATTGTGATTTTATACTTGTGTCTATTTTTAAGGTTGCCTTTTTTATACCTGGCTGGGGGACTACTGATTAAAATTAGCACTCCTTAGCTAACTCGGATATATTTACATTGTTTTAATGTTGATTAATGTACACTGTCCCCTTTCAAATAAACAATAAATGAAATGAAAAATGAAATTAAAAGGTAGAAAGTGACCCGTTTCTCTTTAATCTACTCCCATCACTGCTAAGATACTGAACTATGAGTGTTTTTGCTTTATTTGTCTGTTCCTTAAAACTGGGAACTACCTGCATTTTATCGTTAACCTCATAAAATAAAATTCTGTTGTTCTTTATTTTCTGCACTTATTTGTGGATTCAAAATATCTAACTATAAAAAATCCTGCAGTATGTTTCTTTTATTCTATGTTTCAGAAATTTTAGAATGAAGAAAAAGTCAGCAGAAGCCATATAAAGTCTCTAAAACTTACAACTCTGGCCAGGATGTAAACTGGAGGTGGACGATGGTCCGCTTCAGGCTTTGGTCACGGTACTGCAAACTGATCATACGCTCCACATGTGTCGGTGTCATCTTCTGGGTGGTTAGGCTGAGTGTGATTGGTCCCTGAGAAAGCTGCTGGCCGCGCTCCGTAGGGAAGTAGTGTAAAACCTTTCCCTGGAAAACAAGCCATTAGCACAGTCAGATATCTCTTCAGAAACCATTTAATTCATCATTATCACACTTTAAAACCTGCTACCTTGTCGAGTTCCTGCTCTGAAACCAGCATGACGATCAGCGAGACCTTTTGCTCGTATACCATCAGCCAGAAGTCTGCCGCAGTGCCGGTGAGCGGAGCCTGAGTGGCAATCAGGCGAGGGCAGTATGGCGACAAGCCGTCCACGAAGCTGGCGTTGATGTAGTCGTCTTTTCCTGACTGCAAAACCACCCGGTTTAAGTCGTAAGGCATGACATCATGGTGGCGGTTCTTCATAGCGTAGCAGCGGGCAATGGCGATGGACAGCTGCCGGGCGTCCTTCTCCTGCTGGTCCTGCAGCTCCTTCCAGCGGGCATCAAGCACTGATGCCCCTCCTTCCTGGTCTGAGGGGTTCTCCAGGGATTCTACCTGGGCTCTGTAAAGTTCCAGCTGGCTGTGAAGACGGGCCACACGCTCTGGGGCTTGGTACGGATCTCCCTGGATCAGAAGAACTTCCTGAGAGTTCTTCTTCCGACGTTCCCCATCCTGGGGGTCTGCTTTGGTGGGCTGGAGGACATTGGTGGGGGCCTTGGTGCCTCCGTGTTGGCTCTCTGGGCTGGAGGACAGGAGATCGTCTGTACTTGAGTTTTGCCGTTGAAACAGAGATGTGGATGGAGAAACGACAGACGGAGTAGAAAGACTGGGTGGGGCTGCGCCTCCGGGGGTGGGAGCTGTTGGGTGAGGGGTCAGACCCAGAGAGGCTGGGCCTGGAGACGGGGACGGGGAGGGGGAAGGCGAAGGGGCAACAGTGGCGGTTGGCTGGACTAATGCGGGGCCCCCAGGACACTGAGCGATCATGTGGGGAGCTGCAGGGGAGAGGGGGGCGACTCCAGCGGGCTGCTGGGGGCCAACTGGGGGCACACTGGCCCCTGATGCTGAGGGGTAGAGGTTAGGAGGTTGGGCGTGGCTCATAGGAAGAGAAACCGGGGGTTGTTGGAGAGCTGTGGGCTGTGGTGCCAAAGGCTGCTGAGGCATCATCAGAGCTCCCCCTGGGTAGCAAGCCCCCCCAGGGTGAGGCTGCGGTTGGTTGGGCATCTGCATGGGATGCCCTGAAGGCTGACCAGGTATGGGCTGATGCTGTGCAGCTAAAGTACTCTGAGGAATCTGGGGCCCGGGTCCTCTGGGCAGGTTGATCTGGGGACCAGACGGTAGAAGAGGCTGAGATGGAGGCGGCATCTGAGGATGCATGGTGGGGGGAAGGGCCCGACCAGCTGGGGGAATGTAGTTATGTGACACCGGTGGGTTTGTTTGACTTGTTGGCGGCAACTGCACTCTGTGAACACCTGGCATTTGCATCTGTGGGTGTGGAAGAACATGCTGGGCACTGGGAGGGACTGGGATTGGTTGATGCTGCGGCATCTGTTGGTGGGGGAGTCCAGAGGGCATCTGTTGGTTGGGGTATGGCGAATAGGGGGCAGACAAAGGAGGTGCAGGGTGAGAAGTTGAAGATGGAGGAGGTGCGGCCTGGGGGGGCCCAGGGACAGAGCCTGGCATCATCCGAGGTTGCTGCTGGGGTACAAAGTTTTGTGGAATCTGGTAGCCTTGAGGTACCTGAGGTCGGGGAGGAAAACCGTTCTGTTGATGTTGCTGAAGCGGACCTGGAAAAACCTGCTGATAATTTGGAGGCTGAGATGGAATATACCCAGGGGTGTAAACTTGCTGAGTTGGGATAGAAGGACCAGGAGGGGCCCTTGGTCCAGACTGGTACCCCTGAGGAAAAGGTTGGCCCATAGGCGGTGGGTACTGCTGTGGATGCTTCTGCTGCTGTGATTGAGGGGAAGGGGCCTGACCTGGGACCTGAACATGTGCTCCTGAGTGAGGCATCATGTGGGGGTATGCTCCAATCTGAGCTACAGAGTACCCGGTTGAGGCAGGGGGAGGGACAGGAAGGTGTGGCGTGGGGGTGTAGCTCGGGATAGGAGCCTGAATGCTGTCCACAGTGGTGGTGGAGGGGCGGACGGGAACCGGGGCCACAAGGCCTTGTTGAGGAGCCTGAGGAGATGGAGCCCGATAACCAGACACAACTGGCTGGGGGGGCATTTGTGGTGGCCTATGATGAGCCATCTGTGGGTGAGGCATGCGTGGCAGGGGGCCTTGTGCAGGTAGAGCCCCTGAAGTAGGAAACTGTGCAATTCTTGCCAGGAGCTCAGGAGGTGGAAGGTTGGGAGGGAAGTGAGGATGGCCTGCAGCAGGAGCGCCCGGCCAAGGCAGAGAGCCGCCTCCAGTGCCAGGCAGGCGACCAGCAGCAGAGGGGAGGGAAGGAATGTCAGGGGGGAGGCTCCGAAGGTCCTCAGGTAGGTCGCCCCCTAAAGCCATGATGGCTGCATTGAGCTGGGCCAGCTCTGGATCCTCAAGGCTAGAGGAAGTCGAGTCTACATCAGACCCTCTGGGCTTCAGGGAGGGCTTAGCAGCTGTGGGCCGCGCTGGAGGCCTTTTATCTCTGCAAAAGCAAAGGTGATGTTTTAAATACAAAGATGTAACCAGAGGTGATCTAAAACCATAATATGATTTCAGGAATAATCCTTACTTTTCCAAGTGGGGCTTCCTCTCCTCTGCCCTGGTCTGACACAGGGTATTGGCTTTGTCCAGCAAACGTGACGCCTTGGTCTCCAGGTCATCGTAGAACTCCTTGCCCTCCTGGGACTTCTTCATCAGGTCTTCGTAGGCTTCGTATGAGCCAACCAGTCCCTGGACCGTGCTGTTCCACTGCTGCTCTGTCTGGTTTAGGCCCTTGCGTACGGATGCGTACTGAACGTTCGCATCGGTCAGGGCCTTCAGGATATTTTCCTGTGCCGACAGGTTCTGGTCGATGTAGACCTTTACCTGCTCATACTTCTTCAGCTGCTCCTCAAATATACGCTGGAGGGAGACAAATTCCATTTAAAATTCAAATTCAGTAGACTTTTTTTTTTTTAAAGCAACAATGCAGTGAGGTACTGTCGTTGTAGCATGGAGTAACGTACCTTCATGTCTGCTCTGTCTGTGGTAACAAGAGTAGAGGTGATGTCGTCGGTCTGAATGAGGTCACGGAGCTGTTTCTCCAAAGAACCCCTTTGCTCCCTCATCTCCTGAACCTTTCCAAGGATCCGCTTCATACGCTGCAGTCCCGCCATTTCCTCTAAAAAAACAGTTTATATCAGTTACCCATTCGTAGTCATGTACTGACTAATACCGACTCACCTACACCCTCACCTTCGCTGAGCTGCGGTCTTGGCAAGGCCTCTCTGAGACTTTCCAATGGCCCCCCCAGCAGGCGCAGGTTGCTGATGTGCAGGTTCATTGCCCTGTGTAGCTCTGTGTTGGTAAAACTGGCCTTCTCATGGGCCTCCATGTACTTCTCAAGGTCCCTCTGAATCTCAGCCAGAGCTTGGCTCTGCCCAGCCGGATGAATCTCAGCTGCAGTGGGACCGCATGCTTCCTGAAGGGCTCGCTCGCCCCCTTCGTCCTCTTCCAGCACATCTCGGATCTCCTTCAGCGAAGATTCCACATCGGTAAAGACTCCCGAGAGAACTGCAAACCCAAAGATGTGTGGTTAGAGCATCTAAATCTGACCTAGAGTGTCTTAAAACAGCCTAGCTTCTCTTTGAGCTTTTCAGTACTTTTGCCATGTTTTAACCACAAAGTTCTTATAACTGAATGAGATTGTGATCAACAAATTTACAAAGTGGAGGGAATCTGTATAAGGCTTCTAGGTATATTTTCCTTGATAAATCTTAATCATGGTTCTAAACACTATCTGCTAAGAGTGCTTTACATTTTTAATCACCCCAATGACTAAAGACTCAGGCCAGTGATCTATGCAGCTGTTCTGGTTACAGCAGATCTGTCAGTTTATGTAAACTCCCTTTTCTTAAGTCCAGTTGCCCCTTGTGCTTTCCATTGTTAAATGACTGATTTAAGATGACAGGTCAGGTAAAGGTGCATGCCACACTTTTTCTTTTAGATTTTTTTTAGGGCTGCAGCTATCAATTTATTTAGCAATCAGTTAATCTAGCAAATATATTTTCTGATTAAAATATAAAGAGATACATTTTAGTACAATCGCATTTATTTTATTTTTTTTACAGAACCTAACCAGGTGAAGCTAAAACTGAGCCACTAGATATTGAATATTTACAGATAGGAAACATTTTTCATCTTGGATGTTTTTTTATGTTGCAGTTTTGGTTCAAAAATTGTCAAATGGCATAAATCCTTTAAGCAAATGGCATGCTAAGACTACTCCAGTTACCAAATGAGATGAGGCTTATTCCGATAATCCATTAAATAACGGCGAGCAATAAAAAAAAATATTGCGATAGACACCTGATTACTATCAACAGAAAGTACATCCGATAGAATGGTCTATAATTTCACTGAACTCCAACAAGCAAATGGAATTCTGGGGGATGTAGGCAGAGGAAAGGATTTAGCCTCTCTTTTTTTTCTTTAAAGGTTAGACTTTAATAGAGTTAGGGTTACAACCTAATACTGTCTTTTATTTAATCTGGTCCTTATGTCAAATAGCTAAAAAAAAAATTCTTCGCTATCAACTGATATAAAACTTTGAAATCATGACGCAATTTTTAGCATATGGATAAAAAAAAATCATCAAACCCATGTGATCCACAGTTCCCCATTCAGTCCTAATTCCCATTAGTGAAACGTTTTACTGATGGACTTTAACTGATGGGTTTTTAAGGCTCTTTCTACTAACCCTGCATGGACTGAATGAGGCTCTTCACGGTGTCTGGCCGGACGCTGAGAGCAGCACACTTCTCCATCAGAACCGGAGGGATGTGGTTGTACATGTCAAGGTTGTCAACAGATTCTGGCTCCAAGCCCAAAGAGTCCATAAACTGCCTGCAGGGAGATAATAAACCAGGTTGATGTAGGAAAATAAAATGTGACAGCAAGAATCTGTAGGATAAATCCTATTTGTTCACAGCCTGCTTATACAGAGATATATAATCACTCACTGTAAGGTTTCATTCTTGCCGTCAATCTTGGCCATGATGTCCCTCAGCAGCTTGGCTTTCTCCTCGCTGTTGAAGGAAGAAAAAGCAACATTAAATCTTCATAATGCTGGAAAACACTCTTAAATTTCTCAATTCCCAATATCTGAGAATCTGAGATCGTCACTTAAAAAGAGCCTACCTGTAGAGAGAAGAGGCCTCGTGGGCAGCCATGGGCACCAGTTTAGAAAACAGATCTGGTCCAGTGACACTGGGGTCCGTGGGATTGACCGGCAGAGCTTTCACCAACGGAGCCCCTTAGGAAGAAAAAAAAAGGGCAACTATAATGCCAAAATCAGGGGAATCTTTTTTATCCGTTTCATTTAAAACAACAGGCTTGGACCTCAGTAGCTGATCCAATGAACCAAATTCTGTAAAATCTAACAATATTTTCTTTAATATCAGTTATGATATCATTTTAATGAAACATAAACTGAATATATTTGATCACAGCTCTTTTAGAATGAATATGGGAATTTGGCAGCCAGATTGTTCTTTATTTATGAGATTCGGCTTTTTTTACATAAATTTAAAGTTTAACGCCACATGCCGATCCAACGGACCATATTACACGACAGACAGATTTTAACACACAGAGTGCAACACGTTTACCAGTGGAATTCTGTTTCATTAAGTAAAACACACTATAACTTAAAAGTATTATTTCAAACTCTGTACGTCCATATAACTAGTAAAATACATTTACAGTTTATGCAAATCCACTTTTTGCATGCATGGATTGTCTAACACATCAACATCTGTGTTACCTTTAACCGAAGCTAGAGTCTCCAGGGAGGGAACGGTCTCATGATAAATAAAGTCGTTGTCCTTTTTGGCAGAATTAAACCTGCAGATTGAAAAACATAAAATACACACACATGAAAAAAATTATTTTAAATATGCGGCCTTTATCTAATTAGCTGGGATATTGTAGAAAATACTATTAATAAAAGACCCATTGCTCACTTTCCACCAATGACGTCCATGGTGAATTTCAAGGCCTCTTGCACGCTGTCAGGTTGACCCTGGATGAATCATGATAAATAAATAAAAAACTGATAATTAGAATAAAAATCAAATTTAAACAGTTTAATGCATTATGTGATAAACAAGAACGTTACCTTAGCTAGCTTGATTGCTTCACTGAGTTTATCCAAGGAGCTCTGCAGATACGCCAACTGTAGGGAACAGAAGATTTGGTCATTTAGTTGACAGAAAGACGTGATTTAGTAAAAAACAAGGATCACAAACTGGTAGTGCTGACGCTTGGTCCAAGATACTAGCCTGAGTATCTTGGACCAAGCGTTTCCCAATCTGATCCTTTTTTCCATACATTTAGATGTTTGAAGTAGCTTTACTTCAATAGTAGCTGGACATGAAGAAGGGCAGAGAGCAAAGGACTGGCAATCCAACCAGGGACAACAGCTTTAAGGCATGTGATCTTAAAGTTGTGTTTTAACATCAGAAAGCCAACACCATGTTTAAAGGAAATTAAGAAATAAATGATTCAATATATATAATGAAACTATTTTATGAATTTTACTTCAAGAAAATTAATGACAGAAATATTGAAGTTCTGCTCAATATTCTGATTTAGATTTTTTTTTACTGTCAGCTGGGTAATTGGGATTAAAAACTGTTAGGTAGTTTATTTACATTAGATGAGGATCTGCAGCCATTTTTTTCTATGAGGACAAATAAATGCATCGAAAATTTCTCAAGCTACTCTGCATCTATGAACTGGTTTAAGTGAGATTACACACCGAAAAGGTTGAAGAAGAGATGAAATGTGTTGTTTTTTTGTTTTTTTACCTCAAATCAATATTTATTTGTTTTCTTAATAAATATAAGCACCTAAACACTTCACAATGAACTAGTGCGGCCTTTTTTTTAAACTGCAAAGGTAAATGTACTTTCAAGTTAAATAAAAACTGTTGCATTTTTTTTATTTCAAACTCCTAAATATGTTTCATTAAATTGTTGGAACTGTAAATTTACAGTCATTTTTACTATTTTTCAAGTCTGTATTTTTAAAAGATGAAATTGTCTAGCGGCTGTTTCCAAACGAAATTTCTTTTTGTTTTATACTTGTGTAAACAAAACAACAAATAAAATCTGTCTAAAGTCTAAGTCTAAAAGTCTTAAACCGGCAAAGAACATCTGAAAAAACAATAACAGTAAAAGTTGAAGTAAAATCCAACTCTTCACTCACCCGTTCTCCATATTTCTGCTGCTCCTCTGCCTGTTTTCCCATATGAAGCTGTCGGAAAAGAAATACGTCTCAAACTAAAGACCAATGCTTTGCATCCATGAACAAATCCCACTGAACCCTCCTGCAGATGCAGATGAACTCTTGCCTATCAGCGACTCACATGTGCAATAGCAGCAAAGTAGTAAATCTTCATCTGAACCAGTTTCTTCCAGTCTTTCTGGATCTTTCCCAGCATGGAGGCTGTCTCAGAGTTCTCCAGAGCCCTGCAGGCCTCTTTATAATAATCCACTACCTACAGCACCACAACAACACAAGTCAACATAAAAAATAATAATCACAAGTTTTTCTGTTTCACTAATACATTCAATGTAATGGGAAAACGAACCTGAGCACTGATCCGAGCGACCAGGAAACTTTTCCTGTTGTCCAACATAGATTTCTCTAAAAGACACTCCTGAGCCTGGCCCTGGAAAACAGAAACCAATTGATGATTTGCTCCATTATTGTGAGCAGACCTTCTAGGGTTTTTTTTTTTTATTTATATAAGACCTACCAGCATGAGGTTGATGTTGAGGTTAAGAATCTGGTGGCTCATGTCCACGCTGTAGTTGTGACTGAAATGGTCCCTTAGGTATGAGAACGCTCCGGCGGAGCACTGGAAGTGTGTGCAGGACACCTTCATCCCCTGAAAGCACAGCAGAGTCTGTCGCACCAAACAGGCAAACAAGACAGTATTAATCTGTCAGAGCTCCATCATACCTCCTCTGAAACCCTGTTATCCATGGCTCCTAACATGGAGTGCAGAGCTCCTGGAGAGAGTTCACAGATGGGTTGTAGGAGTTATAACACCAGAATATGCACATTAATTACCAACATCTATACAGTCTGAGCTGCATATTTCTGCAGTGCATCTCTAATAACTTAGTGTCCACCAAAGACTTTAACTATAAGAAGAATAACGTCATTAAATCCTCATTTAATCAAAAATATTTTCTTAACACTATTACAGCTTCTTAGAGGCCTGATGCAATTGATTGACATCCAGAAAGTCTATAATAATTCAGCTTGGATTATTGCATAAAATGAATGTTGGGTTGTCAAAAGTATTTGCACATTCTAAGAATAATACCTGAAACAACCCAAAAAAAGTTAAACTTTTTTATATTTGGGTTATTTATTTCACATTTATTTGTAGACTTACTTATCTAATAGAATCGTTGTTTTGTTGAGGAAGCACACTCCAGGTTTACAAGAAAAAGGTGAGTTTTTCGTGTTAATATCTTTTCGTACCTTTAAATATTTGGGGTTTTTCATTCCCACAGTCCTTGGCATCAATATGCAGTTAGAAATTATACAGTAGCAGCCGTTTAGAATGGCCCTTTCCAGTCAAATGCCAGCCGAATGGCAGCCAACTTCCCTCTAACCCCCAGTGAAATCTCCTCCACCTTCCAGCTACTGGAGTGACCTCCTCTTGCATATTTTTTAGTCTGACTCCGCCCTCTGAATTATAGGCTCTGACCAGGAGATGAGGCTTCTCTTTAGATATTAATGTCCACAAATCAAGCAGAAAGAATATTTTAGTATAAATATTGATGTTTAAAAAGGAATTGTAGGGGATCACCAGCCAAGGGCCCATCAAAGAAAGTGGGAAAATTTTGAATGGCTACTACTGTAGTATCGCCACAACTCTAATGTTTAGTTATACCATTGAACTGAACACTGTGTATATATATATATATAATAAAAAAATAAATAAAAAGAATTACGGTAAAAAGAAATGGTGACAGATGTGTTTTCTGGACTTTAAGTATGACCCTAATTTAAATGTGTACACAACTTTAAGACTACATAAAAATGGATAGAATGAAAAATGCGTCCTTAGTTTATTTTTCTTTTTACTTTCTGATGCCAATTCTTTATGTTTCAATTTACCAAAACAGCAAAGAATAAATGTTTAAAAGAACAGATAATATTATTAGAACTGAGATGCTTCTTTTATTAAGGCCATTAATTCACTACATATGGTCATCCCTAACAACTCGTACAAAGTCATTTCTCATTTTATATTATACAGGTATTTTATACTTTTATAAACACTGGTCAGAGTATCTACAACATTTTAATGACAAGATTAAAATGTTGATATGATTTTGAGTAAACCCAAGTTTAACTTGCCATCAAACATGAACATTTAAATGGATTACTGTAAAAAAAAAAAAAAAAAAAAAAATAGTAGCATATGGTCACCACTTTTCCTATACTTAAAATTACTTGGTTCTCACCGAGATAAGAAAACCTTAATTGAATTAATTAAATTAATTTATTTCATTTTAAAACATAATTTTTGATTTTAAGTGTTGGACGTGTTTATCCCTAGATAAAAAAAAAATCTTAAATCAAGAAATCTTGGCAAGGAAAATTATCTTGCTAATGGACAGATCACTTAGTTTAAGTAGCTTATCTCTGGGATTTAGTTTTGTTTTTCTTGATTTTTGACGCCCCATTTTAGCAGTGTAGCAACCATTATCCACTGTTTACTGGTCAAAACTGAATCCAGGAAAAACGTTTCTGTCTCTTCTGTCTTATAATAAAATTATGAATTTTGCCAAATTCTGCAAAGACTTTAATATGAATTTTGTGCTTTGATCTGATGAAACTTTTCCACATTGAACAGTCTAGAATACATGAAAAGAAACTGGTGCTCACTATAAAGTAAGGGGGAGGATCTGTGATGCTGGGGGTCTATTTCTTTTTCCAATTCCTGGGGTTGTATTTAAAGAGTGCATGCTATAATGCGCCTTTGGACATAAAATCTGCTGGCCAAGGCCAAAAAGCTAAAAATGGAACTTCAATGGATCCTTAAATAGATAAACAATTTAGAACAGATGACCAATCAATGCAGAAACATTTTAGTCCACATAAAATCATCTACAAAACTCGAGGGGTAAGCTGAAGATGAGGGGAATCAGCTTTGAAAATGCTGTCATAGCAGCATTTTGCATTACCAAATATATTTTTGCTATTCAGTTTTAAGGATCACCTAGATGAAGGTCACAATCAGATTAACATTTATTAAGATTTTTAGGTAAACATTTGATAGGATCACATTTGAATATCTTAATTGGAGCACAGCCTAGTGAATCAGGAATTCATCTGATTACTAAAAAACAGACAAACCATTAGGAAGCAGTCACTTTTCTCCTAAAAACAAAACTCTGATAACAGAACTTGCAGGAAGTGATTTAACTCACCCAGATTGTAAAGGATGCATGCCTGCTCATAGCTGATGTCACTATGGGTGACTGTTTTTCCGGAGAAAATTTCCGTCCTTAAAAATTAAGAGCACCGCATTAGCAACAACAAACATCAGAAACAAAATTTCTAGGCATAAAAATCCACTTTCACTTTCTGGAGTTAAAACAGATGAGTTGTAGATTAATGAGAGCTTACATCACCTTCAAATGAAGGGGGGTGGGGAGCTTAACTATTTAAATGAGAAGAATGTGAGTCACAGTGAGACTATAGGACACTAATCAACAACAAAATAACAGCATTACAACTTTGTTCCTATTAAGTTGTTCTGATATCTTGTCAATTGTTGGACTGACAGATTTTAAGAAGCCTGGTGACGTCCTCATAGACCAAAGTCTACAATGTAACGCCGGCAACTCAAAGGTAAAGACTTAAAGACTGAGTGTCTGTAAAGGAATCGGTGTTGGTGTAACGTCTGAGTTCCTACCATGAGATGGGCACGGCGGCCTCCTGGCCTCCCCCCAGCGGCACTCGGCTCTGCAGGTAATGCAGCTGACCGAAGTACTTCCTCAGGGTGCTGCAACCCTCGAAGTCTCTGGTCACGTTCACAGCACTCTGTCAAAAAATATAATCGATTTCTGCCACGTTAAAACTCATTATCCTGAAGTTTCAAAACATAAGAGACACCAGAGGTAAAATACTGGTGTGTATCATTAATCAAGCTGATTAAAATGTATCATCTCCTAAATGACTCGGTATTTTTCATGTGTCTAAAATTGACTTGATTTACAACTTGGATCTAAGCAGAAATTGATGAGATGTTACACAAAGCAGACATCATTCATCTGCTCCTGTGAACATTTGACTTCAATCATCTGCCATGAGGCGGTCCCAGTGGAAATGAAAAGCAGTGAAGAAATAAGAGTTTTATATGATGTTTAAACGTCCTTTTACTTTGTTTGAAGTAGAAGAAAAGGCTAGGTACACTAAATGGAGGATTAACTAGAACCAGACGACTTCTAGCCTGAGAAGAACCAGCAACCAGGTTGAATTATTAAGCTTTAAAACAAAAGGACTGTAACGGCCTTTACAGGGTTTATACAGGAATTACAAACTTCTTACAAGCCTCTTTTCTGAACATACGGCTTTACGATCAACCAGAAGCTATTCTGCACAAATATGTCGCGATATAATGTATCTGATTAAATTGTTTTCAGAAACTTTCTTTTTTTTTTTAAATAAAGCATGTTAAATGCCACAATAATCACATTTAATGAATTTTAATGCCAATTAAGGCCTTAATTGGCATTAAAATAATTAAAAAAAATAATAATTAAAATAATTAAAAATTAAAATAATTAAAATAATTAAAAAAAAATAATAATTGAATGACTTTTAATGACCACCTGCATTAGGTTTTATTGGATATGCCTTATGAATAAGGAATAAAAATACAGTAAAATTGGCACCCATTTCAATACAAAATAAATCATCAGCCCTTGAATAACTTATCTTCCCACTGCTTCTTTTGAAAAAAGACAGTCATAAGCAGATAGTCACCAAAAACATTTCCCATTTTCCTATTCCTATTTTTTTTCCCTGCAGCTTTTATTGACATTTCACTGTCACAAGTACAGAACAACGAAATTAACTCTCTGCATTTAACCCCTCCTCTTTGGGAGCAGCGGGCTGCCATTGTGCGGCGCCTGGGGAGTAGTGTGGGGTTAAGGGTCTTGCTCAGCAACCCAAAGTGGCAGTCTGTGGGACTCGAACTCAGAACCTCAGGATTCCAAGCTCTATGCCCTAACCACTAGGCCGCCACTCACCCCGCATCCGCTGGTAGCAATCCACACAAAGATCAGTAGGATGGGATTTTGAAAAAATTGGTTGTGGTTGCAAAACATCAATCATTAATCATCATGATGATATTAAAACATGTTTTGGAAAACAGGGGGTAATATGATCTGTGTAGTTAGAGCCAGTCCTGGTTAAAGACTGAAGCAACAGTTAAAAAACATGTTTATATAAATACTACTGCCCTATTTCTTTAATGTAAGAAAAACATGAAATTACAACATCTTGTTAATTTTACTCCTTTTCAAGTTTATGTGAAGTTCACATACAGACAAACAATGCTTACTCTGATGCATGGATGAGGATAATCTCAGATTGATTTGTTTTCTACATGTATTTAAAACCTCTTCTTACAGCGTATAAAAATGACAAACTTGAATATCTGTACATTTTAACTGCTAAACAAAAGTTGATGAATGTCCACAGAGAGATTACTGATCAGAAAAGCTAAAATGCGCATCACGATTTGTTGTTTTACTTCACTTTAAAAAAGGAATCAATAAAAGAATACTTCTTTTTATTTTTATAAAAGCTTTTTAATTACAAACGAGCATAATACAACAAATAAAACAAAATAGAAAATGTTAAAAAAAACAGTCTACACCTTTTTTATGAATGCCTTTTTTCAGGTAGACTTAACTTTCATTGTTTTGATTTTAGCATCAAGGTTTACTTGCTAGCTAAAACCTTATTGCTGTATTTGTCGTAGTAAAATCAGATGTAAATCTGTACTGTAACACGTCAGTGACCCGAAATTAAAACCAGATCCAATAAATCCATGGAAGAAGCTTTCAGGGTGTTACAAAAACTTTTAAAGATTAGTGGAAATATCTTTCAGAGGCTAGACTTTTAACAAATCCGGAAATTTTGTTGACTTTAAAGATCAAAGGCAGAAACCATTGTTTTCTTTATTGTTTTAAGCTGAACTTCTGAGCTAGCAGGATGATACAGGTGGCGGAAAAATGCAGCACACCATTAGGCTTTATATGTTACCCACCTGCCGCAGGGTCTCCAGTTTCTTCAGCTGTTCATTGTAGTTGTCTGGATTCTCTCCATAGTTCTTCAAGATGAACTAAAGTAAAGGAAATGGAAGCAGAATGTCAGAGAATTTACAGAATGAATCAGCACAGCATAATCAAAGTTAACCTAACAAAATTCCCTGTTAATCTCCTCAAATATCTTCAGTGAGTTTGACCCAATATAAATGTTGCAACTTTATGAAAAGTCAAAAAGTTTTGACATCCATTTAGGCCATGATGCTATGCCTAGCTACTTCAAATCATCTCAGGGGTAGAAAAACAGCCCTGCAGCTGCAGACAAACATTCTTCTTCAGACAATACTTTCTCAGGATTTTATTCAATCATGGACACAGAAAGGTCACAAGGCTGATTCAAAGATGCCCGCTGACACAGCAACAAGGGACACACTGCCTTGTTTTGACTATCAAATGTGGGGGTAAAAATGCTGCTTTTCATTTAATGCTACATCGAGGAAGGATACGCAAGTTTTTCTTAAACTATTTTCAAAAACTGTTTCATTTATTTATTTGCTTAACATTGGAAAAATCTGAGGTGTATTTTTTGTTTGTTTTTTTGTATTTGTACTAAGAAATGTCATGTAATGCACTACTGGTGGACAAAAAACAGTCCAAATATCTGAGCTTTATTCACCTATTTGGAAATGATCCATCAGTTTACCTGATAAAGATAGAAGCAAAAAGCAGAGTGGAAAGCCCTGGTAGTTTTTATACCAGGAAATATCAGATAAATTAGCATTTAAAGAGGAGTGTGCCTCCCATACGGCAACCAGAATCTGAACGCCTACATGAGTCCTCAGGTAAAATTAACATCTATTATTAACCAGTCAGTATTATATCATTACAACCTATACAAGACATTAAACAAGAATAACAAACATAGCCCATATTTATTGTATTAACAAGCCAATCAGTGCTTTTGTTCACTGTTGTTGGAAAATGTCACCAATTGCTTAACAGCACTGTATGAATAAAACTATGAGCATGTATTTCTATTACTATTATTGGCTTGATTAGTGGTCATTTTAGCCATTTTATTTGACTATTTGATTAAAGAACGAGCTGGCTGCCATTGATATCTTTTATCAATTACTTTGATATATTCAAAGTAATTTGTTTTAATCAGATCATGGTAGGAAGTCAGTGCATGTTTTTTATTATACATCAACAAACACAATCCATCATCCAGAGGTTTCCCAAATGTATTTTGATTAAATTTCAGGTTACAATCTCTAATTCTACATGCCTCAAGTTGTCCAAAGAGAGAAGGACACATACAATAACAGTTAATCTTTAGAAAAGCACATTTTAAAAGAGCATTTTGATTACCAACTCCATAATTCTTTAAAACCCCTTGAAATTACAAGGAAGCAATATTGGACATGGGAAGAGGGGGAAAAAACATGTATCTTAATTGGCTACAGGAAAACATGGTTACATTAGTGAAATAAGAAATATATTCAGTAGGAGGTTAACCATCAGAGGTGTTAGACCACAACCATCATTATTTAAAATAGCGGATTAAAAAAATATCTTTATAAAATATTTAATTTATATTATTTAAAATAATAATAATAATACTTCTAACATTAAACTATTAGGATGAATTAACTGAGACACAGTTACAGTTCCTTTATAACTCACTTAGTATATCAGATTACATATCAAACATCTGTAGAAACACTACAAACAACTAAACTAATTGTAAAACACATACATCACAGCAAAACTGTTATTGATTTTAGTTATTCTAATTCCTACACCTTTTGCTCATCCAGTAGTCCCTTATTTACTTGCTTATCTTTATTTACCTTTGCCTATTGCTTTGATTTCAGTGCATAAAAAAAAACGTTTAAATCTGAGAGGTAGCCCTTTGGAAAATTAAGGGTTATGATTAGGGATATCATTGGCCAAAAAGTGAGGATAAGGTCTGCAGAGATAGAGGACCATGTGAACGCAGCCGATGCATGAGATATGACAGAGGAGAGATGCTGAAGTATTCAGCTTATCCTCGTTTTTTGGCCGATAACATGCCCATAATATCCCTAAAATAAAATATATATATATATATATATATATATATGTGTGTGTGTGTTTGTGTGTGTATGTCATGTATGTATATATGTATATATATGTGTGTGTATGTTATGTATACATATATGTATATATGTATATACATATACATATATATCTTTTATCAGCCAATAGAGTTGTAAACTATGGGCATATTGCAAATACCAAAAACCTTCATTGTGATACACTGGTGAAATTAATATAAAAAAAAATTTGAAGTCGATTAATTTCCTGTTACCAAAAAACATTTTTTATTATTTATCACACAAAAACATTTTTCAGCTTTTAAAATTTTTTATGAGACTGATGATTTGAACAAAATAACTCACATAATATGTAAGTAAATAGAAATCACAGGAGAACTGATGGTTGGAACATCCCATTTCTTTGTGGAATGGTTTATAATGATTTTAGGGGTAACAGGAGAAAATAGGACTGGATATGTTAATGCCTAGAATAAGGCCTGACTGTTTAAATGTTTGTCAGGCTGGGGGTTGTGAGTCTCTTTCAGGTACATGTGACAATGAGATCACTGTTTTCCTGCTGAAAGGCTGACTGGGCCACTGGCTGTAGCAGCCTGTTTCGTGTTTTAATTATGTCTATTTTTATCTTTCCTTTCTTCAGTGTTGTGTTTAGTTTAGTGTAAGGTAACTATAAGCTCATTTTAAACTACCTATAGAGCTTCTAGCTTCTTCTATACCAACAGGCTAACGTTAGCAAACAGGAGGCGGTGGTCAGGATTGTTTGGTAGAGAAATAACGTAGCTTAGCCTGATACAGCTTCTAGAATTTTCTAAAATTCCCCATGAAGCCACGTTCAAGACTTTAATAAGAACTGTAGCAACCGTTAGCTTCTTGGTTGGATTATCTCGTCTTGCTTAATCCTAGTTTGGTTGACTTTCGACCTCAGCCCTGTTGCTCCATTCCCCACCCAGCTCACCTGCTTCACGGACGGACTAAACTGGAAGTCCCCAGCCTCTTTCAGATCCAGCCAGATCATCGGCATCCGCGGGACCGCTTCCATGGCGGCCGACGCCTTAGGACACCTTCAGCGGGCTAATGTAGAATCCCAGTCCGATACGTTTTAGCTATGGTGGGTTTTCCCGAAGATCGTTTCCCAAACAACTATGTCATGTATCCATTTACACTTCAACCGGAAACTGATAACGTGAATGACGTAGGCCTCAATACTAAGGTATTCTGGGAAATGTAGTTAAGACATAAATACTTACCATTTTAAAGTCTTAAACAAGAAACCAGCTCAAAAATACTTTAAAATGTAACAGATTATTCTGTAGTTTTGATATAGAGTTAGTCTAAATATTACAATGTCTCGTATTAAATCATATACTAAATATTTAGGTATATAAATCAAATTCTGGTCAAACAGATCTCAACAATTCTAAGGAAAGTTTAATTATTGAGAAATTGAATAACAAATAAATTATATAATAATCGTACATACACCTGAAATTATTACACTTCATGAAGAGATCCACATCATAGTTTTATATAAAATAATTAATTAAACTTTACACTGTTTACTCTTTAACACAGTATTAGTAATATTCTCATTATAATTATCACTGTTTTATTATTTGTAGAACTAGCTGTAGTAGTAATAGTATTGTTAGTATTATTATTAGTAGTAGTAGTATAAGCACAATGTCTAGATGTTGGTTATCTGTTTGGACTGTTTTTCTCCACCCTGTCTGCAGGTGTCACTGCTGAATCTCATGAAGCATCCAGTAGAGGCAGGATGTTTTATACCCACAGAATATTAACATAATCTGTTTAGGGATAGTAATACCCATACTAGTCCCTACTACTTATACCTATTAGTAGTACGCTCTACTGTTGTATTATGCTCTGTTCTGTTATAACAGTCTCTCAATGTGTGTCACATTAGATTTTCCCTCTTCTGTGTAACTTTGAAATCCATAATCATGAAACCTAGATATATGAATGATGTAGAGTTTTTAAAAAAGGAGACAAAAATGCTTCAACTCTAATTTATTCTTCTCATCTCCACAACAATGAATTGTAAGAAATGAACAATGAATTGTAAGCAACTGAACATTAACTTACATCAGCAGATTCCAACCAGTTGCCCTCGCAGACTTTATGCTTGTGTGTTCTGAGAGATCTCACCACATAGCTCCCCCCAGAACAGACGACAATAAGATATATACCAAAAGAGAAAACAAAAAAAAACAAAAAAAGAAAAAACAAACAAAAAAAGAAATATGATACATTTAAATTTCTTAAGTATTCCCCCCCAGGCAAGAGGGGTGAGGGATAGGTAAGGTTGGTTCAACATTAGGAATATGGTTGGGAGGGAGGCTGCAGTGGGCTGGTTGAGTCAGCTCAACTGCGCCATCCTAGAGTACATCAGCAGGCTTTAGAAGATCTACTGAAACTCGGTGCTGACCAGTCCCTATTTGAAAAAGGAAAAACTTAGGCTCCATTTCAAGAACACTGAAAAAAAAAAAGGTATGGGGACGGCAGAAGAGATCGATGTGCTTCATGGCGGATAAAATCATCTGCTATGGGAACGTATGATTGAGGAAGGCAGTAATGTGCTGCCACAGTTGAGGAATAAACTCCCTCTGAAAACCATATTCCACCACAGCTTTAGAGCCTGACCTCTTAACATCTGTAAGAAACTCCAGTGGAACTTTCAAAGTCTGACCAGAACTAACTGCGCAGAGGGAGACTGCAGCTCCTCCTTGGGGGATGGGAGTAAGGCCAGTAGAACCCATGGCAACCTATCCAGCCCGCTACTGTTCACAAAGAATAGACAAAGAGACGCCTATAAAGAACAAAACCACTCACACAACAACATTGGTTTGATGATTTTATGCAGTAGTCCATTGAAGTCTGACCCCCAAGCTCTCAGCTACCACGTTCCACAACTCGGAGGTAAAGTGTGAATCCCAATCAGAGGTTATGTCCAAAAAAGGAGCTCGTCTGCCTGGCTATGTGTTTCTTGGACAGGGCCGCTTCTATCTCCTTTAACCCCAGTTGGCCTCAGCAGATGGCCGCTCACACTGAGCCTGGTTCTGCTGGAGGTTTCTTCCTGTTAAAAGGGAGTTTTTCCTCTCCACTGTCGCTACAAGCATGGTTAGTGTGAGGGATTGCATTCGAGTCAATGAGTCGATGCAATCAACTGGTTTTCCTTAGATAGAAAACTTTGAATCAATTTGACTGTATGATCTGGTGAACTGGAAAATGCCTTGAGAAGACGTGTGTTGTGAATTGGTGCTATATAAATAAACTGAATTGAATTGAATTAAGACTAAAGGTCGACCCTGAAGCATTGACAAATCATCCAGATGTGTTTAGAGCTTCTGATGGCTACGTACTACCTTCTCTGTCAGAGTCAAAGCTGGACTTGTTCATCACCCAGGCTTTCACCAAAGTAATACTAGGGGCTGTTCAGGAAAAGAGGTGTTTGTTCCGCAGTGCTGGCATTACATCTGACCTGTTCCGAATGAAAATTGGACTCCAGAGCTGCTGGTATTGGTCACCTGTCATGCAACATTAAGGAAAAAATCTTGAGGTATTTCCAGTCAACAACAAGTTAGTTTTTTGACAGGAAAAGAAACAGGCATTTCCCAAAAGAAAACCACAGTGCCATCCATAAACACTTTAGTATCAAGTTGGGACAAAGATAAACAATAATGAACACAACCACCCTAAGGGGAATTTTCGAGATACCAATTAATTATGTGTTTTTCTGTTCAATTGTTTCCCTGGTTATAAACAGGGCTGTGGGAGTGTTCTAAAGCCTGAAACCTTCATACTTTAAAACTGTGTTTTAAAACATATAGCCTCACTCTTGGAGACTGATGCGTGAGTTTAGATTAAGGCCCTTTTTTTCCGTCTTATTGCACTGGTGCTGGTTCTGGTGCTGAAAGCTTTGATGGAGATTTGGTGGGTTTGGAAACTTTGTCTGCCTATTTTTTTCTCAACCTCTTAGATTAAGAAAGTTTTAAAATTCAGTACTAGGCTGTAGCCCTTCTTCTCTTTTAGCTGTAGTAATTCTAAACTTTTAATTAGTTAATTATTGTTTTCAAAAGCCATTCCATAGTCATAAAACTTCCCCTGAATTCAGAGCTGTTGCAAATTATCATTTTTCTTTGTCTGCCTTTTTATTATTTTTCTGTTCATTCTGTTAATTAGAACCAGTCATTTAGTAGATTTATTATGACAGAAGTCCTTGATTCCATTGGTTACTGGCTTTTCTTTCTTTTAATTTGCATTAATTCAGCTGTTGATTAAACTTTAATTCTGAATTAATTATAATTGTTGCAAATGGTCAGAAATTTCACTTTTTTCTTTAAATGTTTCAAGATCATTCAGTGGGAATGTAAAATCCTTCCTTGAAAATGATTTTTTGTAAGATTATGATTCTGTTTGATTTATAAAGAATAATAGAGTTCAGCATAGCATTTATTTTGTCATGGAGTGAAACTCGATGTGTAGTAAGTGACAATAATGTTTTTGTCTTAAAACATTTTTGGAATTATACAACTATGAAACCCTATTAAGTTTATTACTGACTTTACCTTGGTTATAAAAGCAATAACAGTGTTATTTTATGTAATAATTAAATTCTCCTATGCATATCTATGCTGTTTTATCAATCATTATTTTACATATTGTTCATTAGATAAGTCCCTCCTCTATAACAAACTGAAAGCACTGATCAGTTTGATTACAATATATGTAATCTAAAAGAAGAAGAAGGATGAGAGCACAATGGCTCAACATACAAACAATCCATTAGATATATGCTGCATTGACTTCAGCGTTGAAGTTAAAACTAGGAGATAAAAAAGAACTCCTAACCTTTCAAACCAACTAATTCTGCTCATTTAGACGTATGATTTCAAGACCAGCTCTGAGTAAAGCAACCAACCTGAGTCTCTTTTTTCCTAAGTAAAAATGACTGAGTGATTAATAAGGGATGAGAATTTACATTTCTATTACCTTGTGGTGTCAGCTGTGGTTGATTAGCTGTCGTGGTGGCTGCGCTTTATGACACAGAGCTGAAGAAAGTCAGAGTATCTGTGACAGACACCTGCATCATCTTCCTTGCTTGAACTAATGAGAATAAAAAGTATCAGTCTGCAGCTTGTGCTCATTAATAAAGCAGTAGAACCGGTTTAGAGATATGAAAGGCGACCAGTGTTTTGCAAGTAAGATGACAGAAATGTCTGCAAAAAAATAAAATCCTCGAAGCTTCTTACTGTATTAGCTAAGATTTTATTTTTTATAATTCGGAGGATAACAGATCCTCTTCTACAAGCTACTGTTTCATGTGAAGCAAATCAGATCCGTTAGAAGTCAGACAGAGCCAGATAAATAACTAAATAAGTTTCCTTGGTTTGTGGTGAAATGCTAGCTGGCATGCCTCAAAGTAATTGTATAAAGCTTGTCAAATTCTAAATTTGGCAGTCCGTCACAGCTGCAGTACTGAGTAAAGTATATCCATATACTGAATAAAGATGAGAAGTATGTGCTCAAACTATATTTGATTTAAAATGTTAGGTTAAGCAGCTGCCTATTGTGAAATAAATCTTCCTTGTAAGCTAGTTTCAAGCATGGTGTATAGCTTGCTGATAAGTATCACTCTGCTTTTCATACTAGGCAGGTTCTTGTAATAGCCGAATGAATTAGATTAATATGTAAGAAATGTGCAACTGTTCCAACACAACTTTCTTTACACTTGGAGGCTGTTACAGCACAATTTGAAAAGTTACGTTTTATGTTACATGTAAGCGATACTGTATTAAGTATCTTTGTTCAAGATTTTGATCTTTGACTTACAGTAATTATTTAAGCTAAAACATTAGAAGGTTAATCATCAAACAAGTCTAAATTAAATTCAGATTGTTTTTATTGCTGCGATTAATAACACGCCATCTCAAGGCACTTTGTAGAGACAAATAAATTAGATCAGACAGTGAACTCATTAAAGGTTTTATATCAAAGGAAAAAACACCTGTGATTGCATTGACTGTCCCCCGATACACTCCTCCTGGGTGAGCATGTGCTGACAGTAGGCATTCGCATGTATTGAGTCATTGACCCTACAGCAATTCCCCTCACCAAGGATGCATGCAGTGACATTAAAAAAGAA